ACGAGCCCACCTCCAGAGCCGACGACGACTACGAGCCCACCCCCAGAACCAACGACGACGACGAGCCCACCCCCGGAACCAACCACGACTACGAGCCCACCCCCAGAGCCGACGACGACTACTAGCGCCTCTTTTGACCCAATAACAACGACGACTAGTCCATCTCCGGATTCAACCACCACATCTAGTCCACCTCCTGACCCGACCACCACTTCCAGTCCATCTCCTGATACAAGTAGCACCTCTAGCCCCAGTCCTACTCCGAGCACCACCTCCAGCCCTAGTCCCACTCAGGGTTCAACTTCCCAGACAACTACCACCAGCAGTGAGGAGGAACCATCAACTACTTCATTGACATCTTCACCTCCTCCTCCTTTTACCCCCTCGAGCTCGACGACTAGTTTCTCATCCACCCCGATCCCTGGCCCTTCAACGACAACCTCGTCCCAGCAAATCGGGCCCACGGATCTCACCACTACTTCCACCTCTCTGGAGCCACCTCAATCAACCACTTCGTTTCTAACCACCACTACCTCCTCATCAGATGACCCGATTCCTGACACTACCACTTCCTACTCCTCTCTGTCCACATCTATCCCCGACTTTTCAAGCAGCTCACAATCCTCCATTAACCCACAACCCGGCTCAACCACAACCACCACATCTTTGCAGTCCACCATTGGTCCAAATCCGGGCTCAACTACAACTTCACTCGACGACGTAAGCACTTCGTCATCCTCGTCAACTCTAGGATTTTCTTCTACTTCCAGCCAGACGATCGGTCCAAATCCTGGCTCAACTACAACTTCAGTCGAAGATGTAAGCACTTCGTCATCCTCGTCAACTCTAGGATTCTCTTCTACTTCTAGCCGGACGATCGGTCCAATCCCGGGCTCCACGACTTCGTCCACAAGCAAAACACCTGGCGGCTCCTGGCCGAGCTTGCCCGCTGGAGACAAAGGTTGGGATATTGGCCATGGGGAAGTCACAACGACGATTCGAGGTAAGGTTGATCCGCAATTCCATTGGTTTAATCTGGCTGACATTTCGTAGCAACGTGGATTGAGCCATGCCCAACAGGCCTGACGACAATAACAACCAGTATCTCCACTACACATTGTGGCTGCAGAGATGAGCCAGTGCCTACTTTCTCATTTACCACCACCACCACTATCTGCCCACCAGGTTGGCCAATCACCACGCCTTATGTCGTCACGAAGCCAGTCCCACCGCCGAGGCCAACGGCCCATACTAAGATTACCACGACCGATTCCATCGGCGAGATTATCACGATTACTCGGGGCCTTTTCGCACCCACTAAAACAGTTGTTGTGCCAGTTACTGTTGTTCCTTATGCCCCTGGATCTAACAATGGTCACGGAGGTCCTCCAGCAGCTGGACCTGGCGGTAGTGTAATAACCATTACCGGTGCCCCAGTTACTCTCACCCCGGGCGCAAAGCCAACAGGTGGAGCTTCATCTGTCCCAGTCAACGGTTCGCCAAATGGAGCAACTCCAGAACCTGGCTCTGGTCAAGGTAATGGAGGTCAAGGCGGTGCTGGACATGATGCGGGCGGTGCACCAGGAACGGGAGATTCGTCTGGTCACCCAGGAGACAACACGGTACCTGGACATCCTTCTGGGCCAGCAATTCCTCCAGCCAGCTACACGGGTGATGCACCCGAGATTCTTGCCCTTGGCACAACGCTTCTTCTATCGATTGTCATGGTCGCCTTCATGTTCGTTGAGTTGTCGCTTTCGTGAGAGACCATGATTACCCCTACTAAGGGCATGACATGTCACAGTTTAAGAAGGCGTTTGGCAAGGTGCTGAAGATAGGTCGAATGCAGTTTTGATACCTTAGATACCTGATGTTTTCAATATTTATTATAATCTCACTTGTTTATGCAGTATGATGCAACAGAGAGCATTGACTCTCTTACGCCCTTGCAGGTATCTCAATCTCGGCCATGCCGAACCTTGAAAAAGTACAGCCATCAATCTCGTTGCGGCCACGATTCCTCATTGTAATGGGATCACAGCAGTCAGCCAAGAACACGATCTCACTTCTCGTAGCCAATGAATGCTCTGCATGTACCCTTGAAGACGGCTACCCACTGATGTAGACGACATTCTTGTGCCTCCCTTCAGTCACATGGATGGGAAAGATCTTCAAGAACATAGGCCACGGGGACAAATGGCATTAGTCGCTTGGGACAAGGGAGGGAGAGTGCGAGAACGTGCGCCAGTGTAGCTCGTCATTGATGCCCCTGATTCTCTCTCTTCACATCACCTCTTTTTCCACCAACAGAGAGAGAGAGAATGAGAAGAATAGGTAGTTAGGGATCAGCGGATCAAGCACATTAAGTCCAGATATAAATACCTGGCTGATGATCAACTTATTTCCCTACCTCGCTAGAAGAACATGCCCTTCTTATCAATAGCTAGAAGAGTGCTTAAGACTTCTACACCCATCCATCAAAATGCAATTTTCCAATCTCCTTCTCCTTCTCCTCCCTCTTTTCTTCCACCTCACGCTCACACTCTCATCAACCCTCAACCTCACCCCCCGCTCGGAACTCAACGGACCATGCACCGGCGCCGGCGGTGCATCTGGCGTATGCATCTCCGTCACAAACTGCAACGACGGAGGCGGACAAACAATCATCAACGCCTGTCACGGCACGCCCGACAATATCCGCTGTTGCACCAAAACAGCCTGCGGATCTGGCAACAAGGGAAACTGTCGGTTCACCTCTTCCTGTGCATCAGGCATAACCGAGACGAATAAATGTCCTGGCCCAACAAACTTCAAATGCTGTATGCCTAGTGACAGTAATACTCCGGGGAGTTGGTCACCTCCGACACTTCCTAGCCTCAGCTCTGGGTGCAAGCAGATTGCTATTGACGGGGCAAGGGTTATCGTGGCACAGTTTCCTGGCAAGATCAAAGAGATTGGGTGTATTAGAAAGTGTGATGATCCGGCTTCAAGTGACCATTGCACGGGTATGGCGACAGATATGATGGTTGCTAATGGTGGGGTAAGTACCTACTTGCTTCCTTACCTAGAAGGTCTTCCTGGATATGATATGATCATGATGGTACTGACATGATGTGAAACGATAGGAAAAGGTCACAACGGGAGAACCGATCGCTGAATGGGTCATGCGTAATGCTGCTGCTCACCGTGTCGCATATGTCATGTGGGGTCAGAGAATTTGGTCGAGAGGCAGAGATGATGTTAAACTGTGGTCGCAGTGGAGATATCAGTCATGTACGGTCATCAAGAACTGTAAGAATGGAGATCGGGGTAGTAATACGGCAAACCACTGGTGAGTAAAACATTCTTCGATGGGGAGAGAAGGGAGTTGGTGTCTGACGTTGAGAATAGGGATCATGTTCATGTGAGTTATCAATGAGAATGGGTTGAGGGCACGATAGGGTCTACCAACGGAGAGATGGATCTATGCTGATGAAGGGGCTGTTATCGAGGTCAGAGGATGATACGCTGATGTTTGTGAACTCGTAGAACTTCTCAACGACATAGGAATTAAGATTCTTTGAGTAGGAACGCTTCATATCGAATACTACAGTCAGTATACTCAGTAACTGATGATGGATGTTGTCTGTAGTGGGAAAAATCGCACGTGACTATAAGTTTGATCTCCGACGTTTATCCGATCCAGCACAATTTTTACTTTCTTGAGAATCTCAACTTCATCTCATCAACAACACTCACCTCAATCATTTTACTAATGAGTTGCACGCTTTGATTCAAGCTGCTCGATGTTATGAAACTATCAACTCTCTGGGTTGTCCTTCACTTGACTTTCTACTAATCTGGTAAGCTCAATTCCCACCCCACATCTCTGACACTCTTCTGTCAACAAACATCTCCCTTCATGATGAAATTTATCATACTTTTTGTTCCGGCGAAATTCCATGAGCCATTGAACTAACATGCACTACCATCTGACTGTATAAATCAATTGTTCTCCATTGCCATTAATATCTTTGCGAGTCATTGTACTGACGCTCTTGAAAAGAATCTAGCAGCCAAGACTCGTTCTCCAGCAAATTCGTTTTGACCTCTCCTTCACCGACTTATCATCTTCAGGTATAGTAAGTTATTTCATTCCCTCTATTGCCCTGAACTATACACCAAGTTCCTTTGCATGATGATCAAGGTCAAAAATAAACAGTTCTGCTTCTGAATCACAAGTTGAAGAAGTCCTTTACCAAACAGCTTACCAATGTCTGATCGCATCCCACAATCGATTTGTGCCAATATCTCCCTCGTCTAAACTAGGAGATATCAAGCTGACACGAATCTTGATCTTAACAGGTACTTTCTTCTCTCTGGCACATCCATGTCAAAGACTCATCGTCATCGTCTCTACCTCTTCTCAATCTGTGACACTTGTAAGTCCACTTCTTCAGCTCCATTGTTATGGACGTCCACCAGATCACCAGACCACCACGTTCCCCCTCCCAAAAAATGATGATACCAAGTCTATCCATTCTCCGAGAATTCGATTTCGAATCACCTTCCTTTTCCATAACGGGACCACTCCACCTCACAGAGCCCTCAGCTTATCTCTATCTCAACCATCCGTCTCATCTCTATCCACCCTCCTTCTCCTCACCGTCATCACAGTTCATGTCCTCCCACCCGTCCCTCAAATTCCACATTCATGCCCCATCTCCTTCTCCAACATCACCCGGTCATCTGACAAATCCATCCTGACTCCGACCCCCTTGCCTTTTCTGCATCTCCCACAACAGCCTACCTCGTCCTAATACCGGACCCACCGTCCTCTCACCCACCGGGAAACACATTTGTGTTCTACCCTCTGGAAGAGGACACCTGGGGATGATAGGTTGTGACGAGCTCTTGGCGTGGTGAGTATGCGGAATTGTGCGGGGACGTTGGAATCAACACGATGGAATTTAGACGATTGATTGGTTTTGTTCTGGGGAGGGATTCACAGATGGTGGGTTTTCCATGAGTGTTTGGCTCTTTTTGTGTGGTTCAGGTGGAATATGGGGAGCTTGGATGTGTTGAATGGATGATGGAGTTGTGAGGGGTTTGGTATATGGGTTTGAGGTGGGTGGTAATCGGGAGAAGGGATAGGGGAAAGGAGTTTTTTGTGAGATGGTTGGGGGTTTGTATTGGAGACCAAGGGGGGAAACTCCCGGGGTTTTTCTGCCTTGGTTGATGAGCCGGTTGGGACTTCGTTATGAGGTTTCAATGGGGGATTCGACTGAGGTGGGGGAGGGGATGAGGTATACGGCTTGTCTGATTTTCTCCCATGTTTCACCGATTATTGTTCATTATATGATGGATTCATCATTCTACACACACACACACGCCTACTCGGGTCGACAAGTCAATATCTTGATAGCTTTTGTTGGTGTATCGTTACTGACAGGTCTTGAGAATATCTAGGTAGCTAGTCGTCGATTCTGCTTCTTTGCGAACTTTTCGTGTTCTTTCACGATCGTATGTCATTGATCCAAGTTGAAGAGGGTTATAATGTTAGGATTGATACAGAGTAGTAATATCTCTTACCAAGCCTTCTCGTTCTGGTGAGGGTGTAGCTATACATAAAAATAACACGATTTCCTTATTCCCACTCCAATCCATTCCCATCAATTAATCATTCATCATCAAGCCCACTCCCATCTTTATCTTCCGACGCCACTCTCCCGTTCCCCAAACCATCCAACTTCATAATCAAGCGATCAATCGTCCTATTCGGCCAAGGAGAAAACCGACTGTCGTCGAGATGAAGACCCACCAAGGATTCCCACTTGTTATTTGGTCCCACTGCGCCTTTCGACTGTTTCTCGCCTGCTTTGATGCTGTCCACCAGTGAATCTAACGACGTCTCGAGATTACTCGCCGTGCGGTCCATTTCGTCGAGGACTTCCTTCTCGTCCTGCACGTAGTTGGAAAATGCATCTACCACTCCATCGTCGTCTTGAAGGTCTAATCCCTCCCAGACGGTTTGGATGCGGTAAAAAAGAGCGACGAAATGGTCGATCAGTATTAATGTGGCTCTGAGGGTTTGGGCGTACTCGTCATCGCAGATGAGGAGTGCTGAGCTAAGTGACTTCAGATAGACTCGGTGTGCCTCGGCGAGGGTTCGTGGATCGCTAGGCGGTCCTTTATGGCGAGATCCTAGGGAGGAGTTGGTGGACATGGCTTTTGTTTTGCTCGGATCGGCAGATGATGCGGTTCCGGGTCTGGAAGATTTGGCTGACGATAAGCCGTCTTTGGCATCTCCATCCATCCATCCTCGTAGATGGTCCCAACTGCAATGAATTACTTCGCCGTGGAGATATGATTCGAGCTCGTTGATGGTGAACAAAGCTTTGCTTGTGACGACCCAATGACGTCGAGTTCTTCGACTCCGTCTGTCGTCACGCTCTCTGCGTGCTGCTAGTAAAGCCTGGCCAGCTTGAGATGCGCTTCTTGGCGGGCCAATGGGAGTGGGATGGTTTCTTCGTTGTGGTGAGACTTTCCATAATGCAGACAAGTGCATGCCAGCTCTTCGAACGGATAGGAGATATGCGTTGAACCGAGAATATAGCTCGGCATCGGCTGGATCTAGGAAGATGTGTAGTGGAGATGAGGCCGGGATAGTTAGGTGTAAAGATACTGGCGTTGGGAGAAGGGTAGAGATGACAGTTGGATCGCGCCGGGTATCGTAGGGCCTTAGTGACAAAAGTTTCCGTGAAAGCTCAAAGGTTTCTTCGTCTGATTCGTAATCGCCGCGTACAGCTGCCAAATCTCCAAAGGTCTTGTTGAGGATGCTATTGAGCTCGCTCTCTTTCATGGTCATTCCATCTAACCGGCCAGTCTTTCGAATGGGGAGAATTGACTTGTCCGTTTGGTGGCGAGCAGTAATACGGTCATCGGCCTGACCTACGAGTGAGACGGCGAATTCGCCATATTGAAGGAGGACGTAAGAGTGAATAACCTCGAGTAGCTGCCGGACCAGCGCAACAGGAAGGATCTGTGACAAGGCATTCTCCGATATGGACTGATTTATCGACACGAGGGTGCTTTCCAGGTGTGATGAGTCTATAGGGTAATGGAGAGATTCAAGTAGTTTGAGATGGCCTGGAAGAAGAGCTGCTGCATGATCGATGGAACCTCCTAAGGATGTGGGCTTCGACAACGATTGAGAGTGAAGTTGATTGAGGGCACTGCCAATGGATAGAAGGGCCTGTGCTGCGCGGGGCTTGACAAAGCCTGGGAGAAGAGAATGTTGCAACACGAAGGCATCTGTGAAAGACGAGGGGTTCGGATTCGGTCTGACGCAGAAATCCTCTCGTCCAGACGTCGGCAGTTTCCCAAAGAGAATCCAAAGGTTTGCGGCACGCATCCAGGCAGTATGGCCAACACGAAGGAGTTCGTTCACCATGTCTTCAATATCAGAATACCCTGTATGACGTTCACGCTCTAAACGGTCGAGAGCTGCAGCGCCGGAAGAGTGCTTTAAATACTGCACCATAGCTGACATCCATTCAAGGCGTCGAGTCCACGGTGCAAGTTCTGAGACTATCGTGCTCAATGGAACGATGCCATACGCAGCGACGTAACCAGCATCTTTGTTGAGGATGGAGGATTCCACATGAACTATACTGTGTGTAAACTTGGCCAGCTGAACATCGGATACTGAAGAGGCTAAAGCTCTACAAATCATCGAGGTCTGTTTTGCGACAATGGTCGCAGTTTCTTGCTTGATAGCCACGTGCAAGTCATGTAGGTGTGAAAGGGTGTTCAGCATTGAACGTTCTGGTGGCGATACATATTGATTCAGCCCAGATCCTTCTCTGTCTTCGGCTCGTACCTGATCCCAGGCGGGGGAATGTATCCCTGAGAGGGAGAGGAGGATTTCATGAAGCATGTTGCAGGTTTTTCGGTGGCGGAGGGGAGAGGAGGCGATGAGCCTATTCGTGGTCCTGGGTCGGAGTTGAGGTCATTTATGGAGGATGGTTTATGAGCTGGCTGACACCAAAGAATGAGTCTACCAAAGAGCTCGAAGCGACACATTGGAAACGAGGGTGGCTCTTCATCGAGAGGTGAGGGACGCGGTAGGTTCGATACGCGTGAGCGAGGGAATGGACGGAGACGCGTCTGGTGTCGAAATTGGTTTGGTATGATGAAGACCTACCTAGTCTTGACAAGGAGTTCAACTGTGAAGGAGAGGTCGTCAAGACATGCCATCACGTCTGGAGACAGCGGAAGGAACCAACGGTGGTAGACAGAAATGGTAGACGTTGAAAGCGTCCTGAGGACTTGTTGGTGTGGTGTGGCTGCATGGAGGGGTAAAGTCTCAAACGGTACAAACAGATCCCCATGGAGGGGGTTCTGCTAGCTTGTCCGGGGGCTTGACTAGCACGTTGGGGCCTACAAAAGCCAATACAGTCAGCATGTTAGGCGCCGCCTGGTGCCTAGATTGCCTGGGAAGACACCTAAGTGGGTTGAGCACCTGCCTATTGTGCCTGCCTCGCTTCGTTCACCGGTTAGGCGCCTGGTTGCTCTGGCAGGTGCGACTCTCAGTCTCAGTAAGTACTCCGTACTCCTTGGCCGGAAGGCACGAGGCACTGATTGCATCACCGCCACCAATTCATCGCCTCCCAAAGGCAAACTCAAGTTTTAGTTCTCCCGCTGTCATCCTCCACTATTGCACAGATCAATCAATCACTGTATCCCATTCCATCATCCCGTACCTGGTCTTGCCTGCAATTCGCGAATCTTCTGTCACTGATTCGAGACCTCATAATCTTTGATCCTTCAGGCCAATATTACAAACCATTCATCTGTTGCACCTTTTCTTGTCACCAGCCTGCGCCTCTTCCACTGATCAGGCACCAGGTCTCTTCCACTCTCTCTTATACACCCCTCCCACCCATTCAATCAGTGACATTGTTGAGTCTTGCTCGTTTGCACTCAACATTGTCCCCTGCTACCATTTGGTCTGAAGTGCCGTCTATCTGCTCTTCGGATTTTACCTCCCCGCAATTAGGGTCTTGCCCAGGGCAAGGCCACAATCACCATTTCACCACACGCGGACGTCCCAGATACCGTCAGGGCCGGAAGTAAGAGAAAGGCTTCCCACGAAGACCTCTCCCGGCCAGAGAAAAAGATCATGACAGACACTGTGATGGAAGTCGATAACCCTGGAGCTGCCATCCAGCAGCTCCAGAATGGCGAAATCGATGAATCTCTTTACAGTAGACAACTATACGTCCTTGGCCACGAAGCCATGAAGCGTATGGGCTCTTCCAACGTTCTTATCGTCGGCCTCAAGGGATTGGGCGTAGAAATTGCGAAGAACATTGCCCTCGCAGGTGTCAAATCGTTGACATTGTTCGACCCTCAACCCGTTGCCATCGCCGACCTCTCCTCCCAATTCTTCCTTCGAGCCGATGACGTCGGAAAGCCACGCGCTCAGGTCACCGCCCCGAGAGTCGCCGAGTTGAATTCTTACACACCAGTCGCGGTTCATCAGCCATCCTCATTGACAGAAGATCTGAGTCAGCTTAAACAATTCCAAGTCATCGTCCTCACAAACACTCCTCTGAAAGATCAATTGGTCATTGCCGATTATGCTCACGCCAATGGCATCTACTTGGTGATTGCAGACACATTTGGTCTCTTTGGCTATGTCTTTACCGACTTTGGCAAAAGCTTTACTGTCGGAGACGTCACTGGAGAAAACCCAATCAGTGGTATCGTTGCAGACATTGATGAGACAGGTCTTGTCTCGGCGCTTGATGAAACTCGCCATGGTCTTGAGGACGGTGACTATGTCGAGTTTGCAGAACTCCGCGGTTTGGAGGCTTTGAATGGCGCCCCTCCCCGGAAGATTGAAGTCAAAGGCCCATACTCCTTCTCCATTGGAGATGTGTCAGGATTGGGCAAGTATGAGGGCGGAGGGCTTTTTGCTCAAGTCAAGATGCCCAAGGTCATTGACTTCCAGCCTCTGTCTGAGCAGATCAAGAAACCCGAGCTCTTGATCTCCGACTATGCCAAGTTCGACCGCCCTGCTCAATTACATGTTGGTATCCAGGCTCTTCATCTCTTCGCTGAATCGCACAATGGCGAGCTTCCTCGACCACACAATGACGCAGACGCCAAAGAAGTGCTTGAGATTACCAAGAAACTCGCCAAAGAAAGCTCCGACGATATCGAGATTGACGACAAGGTCATCACCGAACTCAGCTACCAAGCGCGCGGAGACCTCAACCCAACAGCAGCGTTCTTTGGTGGGCTCACTGCACAAGAAGTTTTGAAGGCTGTTTCAGGCAAATTCACACCCATTGTGCAATGGCTTTACTTTGACTCCCTCGAGTCTCTGCCCACCTCGGTCACTCGAAATGAAGAACTCTGCCAACCGATTGGCTCGAGATACGATGGACAGATTGCAGTCTTTGGTCGAGAGTATCAAGAAAAGATTTCCAATGTCAAGAACTTTCTGGTCGGCGCAGGCGCCATTGGGTGTGAGATGTTGAAGAATTACGCCCTCATTGGACTCGGTACTGGACCAAATGGCCACATTACTGTGACCGACAATGATTCAATCGAAAAGAGCAACCTCAATCGCCAATTCTTGTTCCGATCCAAGGATGTGGGCAAACAAAAGAGTGAAACTGCTGCGGCTGCGGTGCAGGTGTTCAATCCTGAGCTCAAAGGCAAAATCACCACCTTGACAGACCGGATAGGACCAGATTCAGAAGACATCTTTGACGAGAAATTCTGGCATAATCTCGACATTGTCACAAATGCTCTGGACAATGTCGAAGCTCGTACCTATGTCGATCGTCGTTGCGTCTTCTTCCAAAAGCCGTTACTCGAGAGTGGCACTTTGGGCACCAAAGCAAACACCCAGGTCGTTCTTCCCCGTCTGACCGAGTCATACTCTAGCTCGCAAGATCCACCAGAGCAGTCGTTCCCCATGTGTACACTTCGAAGCTTCCCCAACAAGATTGAACATACGATTGCTTGGGCGCGGGATTTGTTCCAGTCATACTTTGTGGGACCACCCGAGACTGCCAATTTGTACCTCTCACAGCCAGATTATATCAACACGACCTTGAGGCAGCAAGGAAACGAGAAGATGATTCTGGACAGCCTGAAGGAGTTCTTAGTGACGGATAAGCCCAGCACTTTTGAGGACTGCATCGCGTGGGCTCGACTACAATTCGAGAAGCAGTACCACAATGCAATTCAGCAGCTCCTCTACAACTTTCCTAAAGACTCCAAGACATCGACAGGTGCTGACTTTTGGTCTGGGCCAAAGCGAGCACCGAATGCTCTGATGTTCGATGCCAAGGATGAGACTCATCTTGGGTTTGTCATCGCTGGAGCGAACCTCCATGCCTACAATTACGGGATTGAAGCGCCCAAGCTCAGCAAGGAGCAGTATGCGAAAGTCATTGAATCGGTGATTGTTCCTGACTTCCGACCTGATGCGAATGTCAAGATCCAGGCGGACGAGAAAGAGCCAGATCCAAATGGGCCAGCCCCCACATTCGCTGATGATGCCGAGGAACTGAACAAGATCATTGCTACATTGCCCACGCCGAAAAGCTTGCCTGGATTCCGACTGAATGTGGTTGAATTCGAAAAGGACGATGACACCAACCATCACATTGACTTTATTACGGCTGCCAGCAACCTACGAGCTCTCAACTACAACATCCCCGTGGCCGATCGACACAAGACCAAATTCATTGCGGGCAAGATCATCCCCGCTATTGCCACGACCACGGCACTCGCCACGGGCCTTGTGATCTCGGAGCTGTACAAGGTTGTGGATGGCAAGACGGATCTTGAACAATACAAAAACGGATTTGTCAATCTCGCATTACCGTTCTTTGGATTCAGTGAGCCGATTGCAAGTCCCAAAGGAAAGTACCAAGGCAAGAGTGGAGAGGTGACCATCGACAAACTCTGGGATCGATTTGAGGTGGATGACATTACATTGACCGAGTTCTTGAAGCATTTTGAAGATCTGGGACTAACGGTGACCATGGTCAGCTCTGGGGTCAGTCTGTTGTATGCATCGTTCTATCCACCAAGCAAGAACAAGGACCGATTGCCACTGAAACTCAGCAAATTGTTGGAGACCATCAGCCGCAAACCCATCCCTGATCATCAGAAGAACATTATTTTTGAGATTACGGCCGAAGACACGACAGAAGAGGATGTTGAGATTCCTTATGTGATGGTCAAGTACCGCAAATAGAGATAGGGTGGAGAGAGAAACCAAGGGTGACGAGACGAGTTTCGACATAGTTGAAATGTACATCAATAGACTCACCATTCAGCCCTGTCGGAGCCATCGGTGGGAACTTTCCTGTCAAGTGAAGGAGGTGAAGACATGAATTGTGCATCGCATGGTTCAATAGAGGAATTATGGAATGTCACGTGAATTGGCCTTTGTGGTGGATGGACAATCCCTTTTGAGCAGGTGACTAATGGAGGCATGTTTAGTCATCGGTCGCTAGCTTGAGGCTTGACCATTGTAGCCTGGAGCTAATGGCAGCGCCCACCATTACCCAACCAATCCTCCCTTATCGCTCTCGATCGACCCCTAGATCACCTGGAAAAGCCCCCGTTGCCCCCCCATATCCACCTGGACTGGATTGATCATGATTACCTCATTTTGCCTTGAGTTTGTGCCTCTTTTATTGCCGCTTTTCTGATCACTGCCTGGGCCAACCAATCCCATCGTAGATCTGATTAAAGATCCCCCGCACTTAGCATCACCACTACGACGACAACGTGACACGGTGACAAACTTGAGGCAGGCATGGGTCAGCCCTCAGTGGTTCTACGCCCTCAAAGGTAAAGCCCTGCGCCATGCTTCCGCACCTCATCCATGTACATATTCCACCTCAACCTGTGCTTCTTGTCTACATACACTCTTGAGATCTCTTATTTCTGTCCCTCACTCAATCCATGTCCCATACTCTTTCACGCCTTGGCCAACATCTCACTCACCTGACTTCCACCTCGTCCAGACCTGCGTTTTACACCAAGACTGCGTCCATTTTCACCATGACGGTAGGTAGTCTGTCGTCTTCTCAGCGCCCAAAACCCCAGCTAACAACATTTCTAAAAGGCATCAAAGGGTGGCATCACCTCCTGGGTCTTGCCTGGCGACAAATCAGGCGAATTCAAGCGTCAAGTCTCTTCGTTTCGAAGCTTCATTTCCAAAGACCCAAATTCTGAATTCCCTGCTGAAAAGGGTCGTTATCATCTCTACGTCAGCTATGCTTGTCCATGGGGTAAGTCTTCTCAATCGACTCAATATGAAATGGACATTGACATTGTCATGATTAGCTCACAGAACTCTCATTGTGAGAAAACTCAAGGGTTTGGAGGATATCATTTCCATGACCAGCGTCCATTGGCACATGGGCGAAAAAGGTGTGTACTACTTGAACCCCTGGCTCATCCAACACCCATATCAACACTCTCTAACACACCCAAGGCTGGCGATTTGCAACTTCAGATGAAAACATCCCAGGAGAAAACACAACCCCAGATCCACTTCACCCTGACTTCACTCATCTTCGTAATCTGTACTTTGCTGCCAACAAAGACTACTCTGGACGCTTCACAGTGCCCACCTTATGGGACAAGAAGAACAACACCATTGTTTCCAACGAATCATCCGAGATCATTCGCATGTTTTACACCGAATTCGACGACATCATCGCCCCCGAATACCGCGACGTCGTTCTGTTCCCCAAAGACCTGCAAGCCCAGATCGAGGAGACCAATTCATGGACATATGACGACATCAACAACGGCGTCTACAAGTCCGGCTTTGCCACAACCCAAGAAGCATACGAGAAGAACGTGACTCAACTGTTCAAATCTCTCGATCGTGTCGAAGCCCACCTTGCGTCTGGCCCTGGACCCTTTTACTTTGGTTCCAACATCACCGAAGCTGACGTTCGACTCTTCACCACCATTGTCCGATTTGACCCTGTCTACGTCCAGCATTTCAAGACCAACCTTCGGGACATTAGGTCTGGATATCCTAACATTCATCGTTGGCTTCGCAATCTGTACTGGAATCATCCCGCTTTCCATGACACCACTCAGTTTGAACATATCAAAAAGCATTATACCAAGAGTCACAGCCAAATCAACCCCTTTGGCATTACTCCCTTGGGACCAGTGCCGGATATTCTCCCACTCGACGAGGAGGTCCCAGCAGTCAAGGCAGCGTTGAAGGCTTAGTGAACAGGATTGGGATCAAAAAGTGCGGGATTGAATAAGCGCAGAGAGATAACATACCAGCATACTGACATAATGATTTACCTTACATATATTGCTCTAGTCTGTCTTCTGTACTACCTGCGAGACATATAAGCAACTGCCCTGGCAGGGAATTGTGCACTCGGTTCTGCTCAAGTTGTGTTTTCCGGGAGCCCCATCCCCTTTGCCACATTCTCCCTCTATGTTCGAAACGTACCCGTTTAGAATATACCACAGCCAGTCAGTTAGACTACCAGTCCCTGTATACACAACTGCAAATCACAACCGGTACCGGAAAGATTTATTCTCCTTGTCAGTCCGATCGGTGAAGCCCTCCAACTCACCCTGGGCAGGATTGTAAGCAGCATTCCCGGCCGCAGCCTTTGCATCTCTGCGTCTGTTGATACGCCACATGACCGCACCCATGACCGCGGTCGCGACCCACATCAAGCCCAAGATGCCTCCGAGAATCTTGGTCGCAGTCCTGTAACGAGGGGCTTCTTTTGGGTCAAAGACGAACGGCCCAGCGAAGTTGCCAGCATAAAAGCAAAAGAAGTTGATTCCATTGACCGTGGTTCGCTTCGTGTGACCGGCAAAGTTTGCGGCGATTACCGTCCAGTTAAGAATGAGGCCGGCGCTTTGGAGAGCGAGGATCCAGGTCATGGCGGTCAAGGCGAGTTTGTATTCGTTTGGGATGGTGGACCAACCGATAAAGGCGCCAATGGGGAAGATCGGAACAGTGAGAATGATGATGAAGGTGGTGTTGCGGAATCGCGAGGCCAGCCAGCCAAAGAAGATGGTCGATGTGAGTTGAATCGCACCAAACGGCAGTTGATACTTGACAGCGTCCATGCTCGACCAGCCAAACCCCTTGAGGAAGGCACTGAAGTAGTTGGACACGGCGCCGTTGATGAATCCAATGGTGAATTGTTGCACGACAAGACACCACACCCGCACGTCTCGAACCGCCTCCCAGACTTGGTACTTTAAAAACTTTTCATGCTTGATCCCTATCTGGTTGCTGGAAACGCGCCACACACAGACGATTCTTTCCTGGGGGGTCAAGAACCGAGCATCCATCGGGCTCGATGGGAGGAGGAACATGGAGACGACTCCCAGAAGCACAGCCAAACTTCCAATTACCAAGAAGATCAACTGCCATGGACGCACGGCACCATCAGTAACACTACCCAGTCCGACCGAGAGTCCCGCCCCAAGAAGCTGGGCAATGCCGTTACTACCCAACCAACAGCACATTCGCAAGGGCTGCTCGTCGCGCGTCCAGAACATGCTAGTCAAAATCACCCAAGCTGGGCCGACGGTCGCTTCGGCGAAGCCCAAAAGGAACCGAACTCCCAGTAGAGGGCCGATGGACTTGGTGGCCGCTGTACACATAGACAAGGCGCCCCAGACGAAGAGCATGACTGACATCATTCGACCAATGGGTAGTTTCTGGACTGCCAGACTGGCTGGGTACGAGCCGACCATGATACCGACGTTGACAATGGCTGCGGCCCAGGCAAAGTCTCTCCCCTGTAGGTTGAGGTCGCTTTGAAGGCTGTAGGCGTTGGCATAGTTGAGGGCCAATTTTTCCAGGAACGAAACTAGGTAGATGGCGCACATCTACATACAGGTCAAGGTCAGTGAGATTGCCCGATCGACTAGGTACGCGAGGAGGGAGGGAGCACAAGGCAAGGGCGACGGTTTGTTCAGCATACATACCAGTGGCAACAAGATGAGATCCAACTTCCACCGAACTCGCTTTGCAAGCTCCTCCAGTTGAGCGGGCTCGAGCTCCAGTGCCTGTTGATAGGCAACAAGACCTCGATCGGTGTGGGTGTTGGTGACCACGGTGCCTTTGCCCTTTTCGGATTCGTCATCATGATCATGATCATCTTCACGTTGCTCGTGATGGGTATGTTTTTCCATGTCGTCGGGCATCACATCGCCATCGGTGTTGGTGTCCCGGACGTAGGTGGTTCTATTTACCACTTCGGTCTGTTGCATGTTGATAGTCAAAGTTGAGAGTCAATAAGTCTGCAATGAGCGCTACCCAATAATGGCCTAGGTCGATTCCCTTGAGTGGCGTCCGTGACTCTGTGACTTTTATGACTTCCCAAGCTGAAGTCGTGTCCTATTTCATCTCACAATATGCTCTTGCCGAATCCTACATGGAACCGAGGTCAGCATCACTTTCGGCCCGGCGAACAGCGTGTCTTCGTAATTGATCAGCGATACTTGCTTGACACTGTTCCAGGCCCGTGTGAAGCCAATCATGATATGATTCCAAACATCGATAAACAGCGATAAGGAGAACACAAGGTTAATTTGGTATTCACTGATCAAGTGAGGTTCCCGGCCCGGTCGATGACTGATCCTGATTCACCGCTTAGCAGGCAATGCGCGTCTTGCTCTTGCGCGAATGCAAGCGCCAGCCGAGATGCGTAGATGGATCTACAATGAGCGATGAGCGATGTTCTTGGTCTTGTGCCGCTGGACTGGTTCCTCGTGAACGAGATAGGCCAGATAGATACCGTGTGCCAATTTCGAAAGGTAGTTGTAAACTTTGCGCCAAACCCCGGTTCCTGAAAGATGTCATGTGTCGAGATCTATAGACTTTGACTACCCATCCCAATCTATCGACAGGTATCGGAGTTATCAGAGCTCAGTCGAGTTGAGCAAATCTGGGGCCATTGCGCGCTGGACCCGACTTTTAAGGTCCAGTTATCAACCGTTCCGGACGGTGGAGCGTGACGGCATGGAGGATCAAGATTCTCGAGTGATAAAGCTAGCTAGATAGATACCTGTACTAGTCGTATCTTCTCCATATACCTAAAGACCGGAAGAAGAGAGTCAAGACCCTAAGCAACCAATGATCAGACATTACGCGCTGGACGCTAAATCCAAGGTTGGTTGGTAAGGTGCTGGCCCCGTCAGGCAGGGATAAAGAAGTGGGTCTGACCCAGTTCTTCAACGTTGACTTCTATCTATCATGCAGACATTCGGCTATCTAGGCTATGACGACCTGAGACTACGATTACTTGTAAGCCTCAGTACGGTGACTTGAAATTTGAGATGTGACCATTGTGACGATGATTGGTACCATGCTCCTTCTTCCTCCGCTCAACACTTTGTTGTTTCGGTACGGAGTAGGATGCCAACCTCGGCAGTCGGCCATCTTCTGGGTATGATCAATGTGTTGGCAGCGTTATCTTGGTCTTTGTCGACTGGATCACTTCATCATGTCATAGGCAGAGTCCAAGCTGCAGCCTCGTACGAGATGAGAGGGCTTCTGACACGAATTAGATAATTGTTCCATTCCGATTCACAGTCTTTCAATTCTTGAAAAAACCTCACCTCGTCGACTGAACATTTCAGGTTTGATATTCATCAACACCAATCAATATGGCGAGTCCAAGTGTGAACGGCGGTTACATAGCCCAGGAGTCCACAGGAGTCAAATCGGCAGAGCTATTCTCCACGATCCCTGCTGAATGGGTGATTCCAAAAGAACTGATGCCGTCCGAAGAGGTGTTGGATGTAAGCCGCTTTCCTGAAGACTCCGGCTGGTTTACATCCGAAGAGTTGGACATCACTTCTAGTGCCCCGGACATTATTCTCCAGAGGATCGCCTCTCGGACATGGACTGCAAGGGCAGTGACAGCAGCATTCTGCAAACGAGCAGCGTCAGCACATCAATTGGTGCGCTCATATCTTTTGAAATCTATCTGGATTGCATCATTAAGTTCTCCATTATTAACCATTTATCTACTTAGATCAACTGCTTGACAGAGACGCTATTCCCGGAAGCATTGGAGGCAGCAGAACGTCTTGACAAGCAATTTGCCGAGACTGGTCGAACAGTCGGCCCATTGCATGGTCTCCCCGTCTCCATCAAGGATTGCTTCAAGTTGGCCGGCCGAGACTCGACACTAGGATTTCTCAGCCGCATCAATATGCCAGACACCGAAAACAGTACCTTGGTTGATATACTACGGTCATTAGGAGCCATCATCTACGTCAAGACGGCCGTCCCCATAGCTATGTTTACCCCAGATTGCAATGTAAGCCCAAGAAGTCCAAGTCAATCTTTGTATATCTTCTGGCTGACGCTGACGCTATATCGAGGTCCTGTAGAATAGAGTATTTGGCAGGACAGTGAATGCCCGAGGACGACATTTGGCCGTAGGTGGCAGCAGTGGAGGAGAGGGTGCTTTGCTAGGTTTCAAGGGTAGCCCCTTGGGGGTTGGGACTGATCTTGCTGGCTCCATTCGCATTCCATCTGCCGCCTGCGGCGTCTTCGGCCTCAAGCCCTCCCTCGGAAGGTTTCCCACCGGTCGAGGGACGAATGCCCTTGGCGGGCAGGAAGGTGTGACGGCCGTTAGTGGTGAGTTAGACCATTCTATACATCCTTGGGCCCATCTCATCTGCACTGTTCGTGCTGTTTTAATGCTACTAATGCCTCTCTCTCTCTTACTCAATCTGCAGGTCCCATGGCCAACACTCTCTCCGGTCTTGAGATATTTGCCAAGAGTGTGGTGGACTCGGAACCATGGAAGAAAGATCCAAACGTGCTCCCAATTCCATGGAGACGAGTCCAGTTACCCACAAAGCTTCGTTTTGGTGTTATCTGGAACGATGGCATGGTTACACCCACACCAGGGGTGAGGAGAGCACTTGCCAAATGTGTAGAGTCACTCCGCAAAGCCGGCCATGAAATCATCGACTGGGAAGCCAAATCTCACAAGGAGGCTCAAGATCTATGCGTGCGTCTCAAGTGGCTCTCCTCTTCTGCCCTCTTTCCCTGGCTCTGAGATCTACTCCACCTCCCATCTCATAGGCTGCTTGCTGATCAAAGAATGTCTGCTATAGTTTAAATTCTTCATGGCCGATGGTGGAAAAACCGTCCGTACGCGCCTTGATGCTGGCAATGAGAAATTCCCAGGAGCTTTGGACTTTTTCGAACACGCCACCGAGATGGGCGTCCACGAGTATTGGCAAACATATGTTCAACGGAACCACTTAGCACAAAAAGAGCTGGATCGTTTGACCGAAGCAGGTATCGATGCCCTTCTCAGTCCCACTACACCGATGAGCTTCTTTGAGCATGGAAAATATAAGCACGCTGCCTATACATGTACATGGAACCTCGTGGATTACACAGCTCTCAGCTTCCCGTCGAATATCACAGTACATAAAGATCTTGATATATACGAGGATGATTTTAAGCCCATGACTGAAGTCGATGGCCAGATCAGGGATGATTGTGAGTCTACAGCGGAATCTGATCATATAAATACATCCATCTGCTGACACTGACTGACCTTATAGATACCGCTGACGCCGTTCATGGTATGCCAATGTCTCTTCAGATTATAGGCCGTCGACTCGAGGAGGAAAAGGTGCTTGCAATGGCTAGGATAGTCCTAGAAGCACAAGAGCAAGAGAATCAAGAAATCAGACTTCAGGTCTGAGTTCTTGAAGAGCGGAGGAGATGAAATAGTACTGTAGGAATAACAGCGCCTTTCCTAGTCCGCCTCCCGGCTTTGGGAGTCCGAGGGCTCAGCGAGATGGAGGAATTTGGCTCGAGAGTCTGAGTCGAAGATCCAGAATAGGAAGTTTCATCGTCCAGTATCCGGTAAAGACGGAACTTCAGTGGCCAGTAGCACTCAGGGGTCTAATAAGGCTCTTTGCCAAGCGGACTCTGGATTCCAGGCTCGAGGAGCAGTCCAAAGCGTAATCCACCCCAGGATGGCCCGAAGCGCCCCAGACCACCCCCCGGGACGGGTGGCGAAGAGTGCCCGGCATTCAGTGGGTACAGTATACATTATACATAAGATGAGACCCCCAGATGCGGCATAACTCTGTATCTTCTGTTGTCAACTTTGAAATCCCGACTCAAACCGAATTCTGCAAATCCAAGTGCATTCATTCTACCAACTCGCCCTCGACACCTTGTCCTAGATGTCTGAGGTCTCCAGTAGACTAAATGGTCGCTGAGAATGGAATCGCAACAATGAGCGATCCAGGGCCAGAGACAAGTCAGAAGCTGAGCATCAGAGGCAAAAAAGCTTGCTTGAACTGTAGAATTCGAAAGGTCAAATGTGTCCTTGAAGACAATAGCCCGCCTTGCAAGAATTGTCGGCTTGATGGAGCAGTCTGCAATTTTATCGAGAGTAAGCGAGGCAAACGAGGCCGGTATGTTGTTGACCATTCCTTCATTCTGACTTCTCCCTCCTTCTTTCTTCTCATCTCGTTGCATGACAGGCGAGCTCGTACGCATCACAAAGTCAAAGACTTTGTGAATGAACAACCGATCAAACGCAGGGTAATCGGTCCAAATCCGAAGTCGACCTTGGTGGAATGGAGACCACCCGAGATTAAACATACTGAAGACTGGCTTGTCAACTCAGAATCAGTTCCGGTTCCTGTGCAGGTGGTGGATTGTGTCATTCCCGAACAATTCAGTCAAGATTTCACACAGTTTCAACAGGACCTTGACGAAGACGCCTCTAACCATCAATGTAAGCAATCTCTCATATTCATACTCATGCATAAGACAAAGATGAACCAGTCAGTCGAGCTGATTGCTAATTCGGCTTCGGCCGCTCGCAGATGACTCTGGAGAGAGCGGCGCGGAAATAAGCAGCACCAGTTCAAGATGGAGGACTCCCCCTATCTTGCCAGAATTCATGCACCGACAGTTGTCTTATGCACCTCTGATACAGCATTACACCAACACCAACACTCACACTCACATCAATGACCCTCTTGCGACGCTGGAAATGGAACTAGAAACCGATCATGAACCGCACAAGGGCCACGGTTCATCAACGACAACAATCATGGCGACGCCAATGATGGCCGTACCACCCACCGCCGCAACCAAGTCGGTGAGTGATTCGACGACCACGCCCAAATCTAGCAGAGGTTTGTCTGCCTTGAACAACGACTTGCTCCACAGCCTGGGATCGGAAGATTTTAGATTTCTCGTCAGGAAAGGGGCGATGAAGATTCCAGATCGACAAGCAATGACCCAACTAATTCGAGCATACATCATGTATGTTCATCCTTGGTTGCCCGGTTTGGATCTTCGCTTCTTGTCCATGTGTGTCTCAGATTGCGACACAGGCGCCGATGAGAGCCAGCAACCGCCATCGCCCACGCCATGCAGGATCAGCATCTTGTTACTGCAAGCAGTCCTTTTTGCAGGTGCGTCTGCATGCGACTGGTCTGTCCTAGCAAGCCTTGGGTACAGTTCGCGAAGAGAAGCTCGAAGAGCCATGTATGAGCGAGTTCGTGTGAGTCAGCCCGTGATATGAAATTTTTCTGAGCAAGGCGTACTAAAATTGGACAAATATCTAGCTTCTTTACAATTTCGATGTAGAACAGGACCGCGTCGTGGTCCTCCAAGCAGTTTTATTAATGTCAATATGGTCAGAGACAGCCGACGATGAAAAGGGCGGATGGCATTGGCTTGGTGTTGCCCAGTCTATTGCCCTCGGGCTCGGACTGCACCGCAATCCACGCGATGAGTCAACCAGTCTTGACACGCGGCGGCTGAGACGCCGGCTCTGGTGGTCGCTATACATTCGTGATCGAATGTTTGTGTTGGCCATGAGTCGGCCTGCACGACTACGCGACGAAGACTTTGATACCGCACCCTTGACCATGGATGATTTCGACCTGGGCGAATCGTCACCTGGAACCAAGGCAGACGCTGCAGTGAGCAATTTGATGTCCGCATGCGGAGTGTGTCTGCAAGATCAGATTGAGGCATACAAAACCACCGTCATGCTGGCCGAACTGAGCACATTCATCAGTGAGGTGGTCTCGTTACAATTTTCTGCCGTTAGTTCGGCCTCTCACAAGCACCAGAGTCAGTCGGCGGCCAAGACAAACACTCCTCTCCTGCTGCCGTGGCCGAGGGGGCCTCATGGCCTGGGCCCGCAAGTGTGGGCGCTTGATCAGAGGCTCCAGGATTGGTATCGCCGCAACGACTTGGGCGACGTGGGTAATGAGCGCTCATGTGGTGGTACGCGCTCCACAAGCTCTCCAGCCTCAAAATCGGGCTCACCTTCGTTTGAAGATGGTGGGTTGCCTCCCAATGTTACAGTGTTGCGTGGCTACATCCGCATGACATTCTACTCCGTCAGTGCCGCCCTTCACCGGCCTCAACTGCAATATGGCCAACAGGAGAAGATCCCAAGTAATGCCAACGGGAGCACCAGCACTCAGTTCCAAAAGGCTCAAAGCAACCGGTCGAAATATAAGGTCCAAGCCGCTTGCGATGAGATAGCCTTGGTGACTCATCAGTTGGAAATGTCAGGAATCATTTGCTTTGGACCCATGGCAATCATCATGTATCAGATTCCAACGGTGTTGTTTTTCCTCTCCCAGATAAATGATACGGACGATTCCGGCGCCCGGCAGGATGCGACGGAAAAAATCTGCCATTGTCTGCAGGGGCTTGAAAGCATGCGATCGGTTTATATAGGCGCTGAAATCGCGGCCTCGATTATTTGCCATGGCATGCAAAAGGCACAAGCGTCGGTAATCCGAGGCAAGAATGCGACGTTTCAAGGAATCACTCATAAGGGGGCCTCTTATATCATTCCTACAGCCACCGAACCGGACAATTCGCGCCAGCACAATGCACCAGATATGTCCATGCCGCCAACACTATCATCTGGCTCTGACGTCGAGTCTGGGGTTTGCGACCTGTCCACGTCGCTACTAGGAACATCCTTACTGGAAGGGGACCCTTTCTGGGATTTATCATGGTACTATAATGACGATGCAGCCATGAATCCATCGTTCTACGCTTCCACCTCGGATGAGTGGTCAAAGCAGTATTGTAGCCTTAAACCTTGAGCTCCCTAACAGGAGAGGGCATCGAGGCCGTCATTTGTACACAGAAAATCAGCGAGTGGGCAAGGGGCCTTCATCAGAGGCCAAAGAAGGAAAACAAAAGGTGCTTATTTTTGGCTTAGGGAAAGTAGCGTACGGTCTAGAAACGGAACTAGAGTTTAGAGAGGTCAGGATTCGCTGCTAAGTATTTGGGTATTTTGAGCAAGACAGGAATACAGTAGGTACAAGGCTTCCATGGACAAGTATTCTGTAGTCTATTGTTATCCGGCCGACACAAAATTCAACAGTGGAAATTACAATTTCGTCGAACCAGCCATCTGCTTCGCCTCCTTCGTCGCCTCTTCACGGTAGATGCGCTTCAAGATCTTGCCACTGGCATTCTTCGGAATCGACTCGACAAATCTGACACCCCCGGTCAAACTCTTGTACTTGGCCAGTCTCTCCAGGACATGAGCTTTGACATCATCTTCGGTCAAGGCCGCCCCTTCAGGCGTCGCACGCCGGACTACGTATGCTCGGGGATGTTCCTCTGAGGCAGACGCGTATATTCCGATGACTGCCGCGTCGACAATGTGAGGATGATCCATGATTACGGCTTCGAGCTCCGCAGGTGCGACTTGGAACCCACGGACCTTTATCAGTTCCTTTTTGCGATCGACGATGTACCAGAGCTTGGTCTTGCCATCGCAGTAGGCAATGTCACCAGTCCTGAAAAATCCTTCTTGGTCATAAGATGCCTGATTGGCGGTCGGATTGTCGAAGTAGCCTCGCACAAGTGTCGGTCCACGAACCAACAACTCCCCTCGCTTGTCATAGGCGGAGATATTATTGTCATCCTCATCGACTAGCTTCGCCTCCATATTCGGTATCAGCCGTCCCACAGAGCCGGTCACATCATGCTCCGGGTATCTGATCAAAGATCCGACACATGTGACCTCAGTCATGCCCCAGACCTGGGTGACAGGGCTGTTAGGAGCCATCAAGGCTTGGAAGCGAGCTTGAGTGATTTTGTCCAGAGGTGCCGCGCCACACCACGCCGACTTGACGCTTCGGAGCGAGTATTTCTTAGAAAGAGGACTCATGATAATTTGAATCACCATCTGCGGACAAGACGCGACTTAGATCAGCTTATGCGAAGAAGGACATAAGGTATTATGTATTATCGACTTACCGGTGGCACTGTGATAACATGGGTAACTTTATACTTTTCTATGTTGGCGAGAAATTGCTCGAGATCGAATCGACGCATGACATAGTTCTCATGGCCCGCACGAAAGGTAGAAAAGTGCACCATAGGGACGGTGGCAGCGTGGAACATTGGTAAACAATGGACGTAACGTTCCTTTTCCCCCGGCCCGCAGTTAGTATAAATGTGGTCAGGGGGAAATGACAAAGATTGGAACATACGGGATACGGCTTCTTATCCGCCTCGAAAACCATGGTATGATGTGCAACGAAATTGTAATGGCTGTGCTCCACGGCTTTGGGGAGACCTGTCGTTCCCGAACTGAACAAGCGGGTGGCCGTCGTGTTCTTCGAGGTCTGTTCATCGTCAAACCGAACCCAATCCTGCTCCCCGTGTCCAAGAAGCACTTTCCACGACTGAAAGCCTTGCGGAATGCTCTGATTGTGGAAGTCCAAGATCAAGATGTTGGATCGAGGAATGCCACAGGCATCGGCAGCGTGGGTGATGGCGCCCAGCATCTCAGGCTCCGTCATTAGAAATTTAGCTCTCGAGGTTTTGATGTGATGGATCAGTTCGTGGGTTGTGTAGCTAGGATTCGTCCCTGCAAAGACATACCCGGCGCCGACAATTCCGAGAACCAGCATGGTGAAGTTGATCTATTTGGATTGGGCATGGTTAGCCATGCTGAGAATGCGATGAGACAAGGGCAAGAACAAGACGTTCTAAGAGGCGAAGATAGGTTCCTTACATCATTAAATGAATGTAAGCACACACATGACCCCTTCTCCAGCCCAAACGACTGGAGACCAGCAATGATCTTTCGCACATTGGTGCGTGCTTGTCGTAAGCTGATGTTGATCGAGGGATCGGCTGCATCAAATGCGACCTTCACTACGTTGTTAGTACAGCAACCAGGATTGATACCAAAGCGACAAAATCTGCTGGAGGAGTCGCAACATTCCACTCACTGGCCGGTCCTGGTCATAGGTTGGCTTGTCAAAGATCCATGAGAGCAGGTCTTGCCCGGGTATAGGCACCGTTCCTTGGCCTTGGAAATACATGCTGGATGGGGAGGGCAAGAATATTCCGGATTGCAGCCTCTCTGCGCTTTCCGGGTGACTTTCGAGGAATAGAGATAGAGAACTCTGGAGCACTCGAGAGTCAAGAAAGGAAACCGGACGTCAGCCTACCCTCAATGATAACTTTCGAGCCTTATAAGTGATCTTCATACATGGCTTCCACGGCAAAGACCCTCAACTGTCTGGCGAACTCGGTCTCTGCTGCTGGCCGAGGTGCCTGCGTGCCTGCCCTGGCGGTGTAAGCAGCGGCCGAGGATGACAGCGGACATGGAACAGGTGGCATATTCCCCGGATAGACTCTGGGGTAGCAAAAGGAGTACGTATCTGTGCGAGGCCGAGTCTGCCGGCAATTGAAGGGATCTCGGATGCTCGGTGTGTAAGATGGATTTGTCTACAAGTGCGTGACAGGCATGATGAATACCTACCCTCCCTGCCTCCCAAGCTCCCTAGGGCCCACGTAACATATGCCCACAAAAGAAATCAACTTTTGTGTGTTTAATTTGAGCCATCACAATCCCGAGAATGACACAGATCATCCATCACCTTCACTGAGTAATGCATAATACTGCACCATACATTGTGCAATCACGAACATCAGATGCCATGTCTAATGAACCTCCATTCCAGTATCGCCCCACCTCAGCCCCCGGGCCTGGCTCGTCTCTGCATCTGCACGGCACAGACACCACGCGAACACCTAGACCGGATATGGTAAGAAATCGGGCCAGCCAAGGACCTACCGGGCCAAAGCAGTTCAAACTTTCCTTGTTAGCGCAAGACGCGCAAAGAGGATTCATTGGTGGGTGAATGACGGACGACATACGATATGAGTATAACTGTGGCGGGTTCGTCTTCAACTCTTCGAGAACTCCACCTCCCCGGACCCCATGATAAGAAACAGTTCGATTCAATGAAAGAGATGCACCGGAGCACTTAGGATGGCAGCTTGGCAGAGATATCGGGGACCTGTCGGCGATTTCGACCCTCGGCTTGATGGTGGATGGGCGACAAGGCGGACGAGTATGCGGACGAGCACGAGCACGGGTTGGCTCTCAAATCAAGTATAACATATGACGCACATCTTTCAAACAAAGACAATTCAGTCAGGCCAGAAAGAACGAACAGACAAACAATCCAACAATTCAACAATCACCATGGCAACACGCTGGGAGGCTGTCCGAGACGAGTGTCAGAAGCGTCGAAGCGAAGCTATTCCCAAGCAGTATTGGCTTCCTGAGAAGATCTTGAACACACTGCCCAAGGATTGTTCCACGGTGGTCGACAAGTCAGGACATTTCACTGAGGGCGAACGGCTAATCATCAATGCCTCCGCCACGAGTATCCTGAAGAATATTGCATCCAAGACTTGGACTGCGACTGAGGTCACCCAGGCCTTTTGCAAGTCAGCTGCCGTGGCTCAGCAACTGGTCAGTCTCGCAAGATGAACCTGACAGGAGTTTCGCAACCATTGTGTACGAACGAGCGCTAACAAATCTACACGATAGACCAACTGCTTGACAGAGGTCTTCTTTGACAGGGCGCTGGAGAGAGCACAGTTCCTCGATGATTATCAAGCCAAACACAACAAGCTCGTGGGACCTCTCCACGGCCTTCCAATTTCGGTGAAAGACAGCTTCCATGTTCCACCATATCCTGTGTCTATTGGATTGAGTTTGTATGCGACCGAGCCAGTGAAAGAGGAGGCGCCCCTTATCACCGCCATGAGGGAGATGGGGGCCATCTTATATGTCAAGACCAACGTCCCCACCGGAATGTCGATGTGTGAAACCATCAACCGCATCTGGGGAGAGACCCAAAATCCCTGGGGCTTCAGTCCTGGAGGAAGCTCCGGGGGCGAAGGAGCCCTGGTTTCCATGAAGGGATCGCCGTTGGGCATCGGCACGGATCTTGGAGGTAGCGTGCGAATGCCAGCCGGGTTCTGTGGCCTGTATGGGGTCAAGCCGACCGTTCACCGATTGTCGATGCGCGGCCATCGCACTTCGCTTCCTGGAGTAGACATGATCAGCGCCACATGCGGCCCGGTTGCTCGATCCTTGGACGATATCAAACTGTTCATGGAAATCATGACTTCCTATCCCAAAACATCATCCCTGGACCACGAGGTAAGAAAGAAGAAATCCACTTGCACGTTGATTGATCCGAACCGAAAGGACGCTGACGGCACCTCCTAGGTTCTGCCCATGCCGTGGCGCCAGGAGCAGGCAACGCCCCAAAGCGGCCGAAAATTAAGAATCGGCATCATTGAAGAAACCGACGGGATGGTCACCATCCATCCACCCGTCGCTCGAGCCCTCAAGGAGGCCCGAACCGCTCTGGAAGCGGCTGGCCATGAGGTTTTCGCATGGGAGCCCGTCCGCCACAAAGAAATGATCCAGGTCTTTCTCCAGAACGCTTTCTATCACGTCGGTACCGTATTGGAAATGGTTCTCGCGACTGGGGAGCCATTGTATCCCGCAACGGAGTACTTTAAAAAGGCCTACGAGCACGAAGGGGCCGCGAGTGCGAAGTTGGACGCCGAAAAACAGAGGGCCCTCACCAGCCTTCGAAATTCAGTCCGGACCGAGTTCTTCGACCGTTGGGCAGCCACGGCAGTGGACGGGCTGACAGAGATGGATGCGATCCTGACTCCAATCGCCGCCTGGGCCATGCCACCACTGGGTGGTTATCAGAAGGTGAACAACTTTAGCTTTACGATTTTCGCCAATGTGATGGGTGAGACAGTCCTTCCCCGTGCAAGGCTGGTATGATTCTCGTGGATAATTGATAACTAACACTTGTGATCCTCGCAGATGCACCCGCCACTGTTTTCCCTGTGACGTTGGTCGACAAAAACAAAGACCCTAGGCGGGACAATTTCGTCCCGATCGACGAGCAAGATGAGTTGATCCAATCTATGTATGACCCACAACTCTACGATGGTGTGCCAGTCTGTCTGCAGCTGGTCGGCAAGCGGTTCCAGGAAGAATCGCTGTTAGCCGTGACTGAGATTGTTGACAATGTCATCAAAGGCAGTGGCAGTGCCGCCTAGGAGCGGGGTGCATGAATGAACGGAAGAGACAGGGCTGACCATCACATGGCAATACACGGACTTCAGAGTTGATCTATTGTAGTAAACCACAAAGCAACCCGGAGTACTCGAAGCAATCTAGACTCTGGTGAACTGCGGTATTCGTAAAGCAAAAGGCGTTGTTCTCTAGCCTAGTGGGTGCAGTATTGCAGCCGCTTTTTTATAAATGACTCGTAATCAACCGTGCCAAGCCGCAAGGGCTTCTAAAAACCACAGAAAGCAGCTACATAGCAGTTGATCTCGCATTGGAATTATCCTGTTCCAGGGCGGCAATTCCGTGGGCTTGGTTTGGTGTTTAGGTTTGAGGGCTCGGGCCAGAGTGAAGAGGCACAGCGGGCATAGGGAAGCCCGAGTGCCCAGAGAGCGCTTGGCCTCAGATAAGAATCACTGAACATCTCTTGACTGTGGCCATCGACGGCCAACAATCTCAATCAATCGTGCACATTCCGACGACGAGCACGCAACGAACGAAACGCACGTGATGTACACTTGAGCTTGTACACTGTACATTTTAGCTGTACCTCCATGACCCCCGTCAACAGCGCCAGGTTAAATCCTGGGAAGTCGAGACCGTTGCGACGGGATCACGTCCCACGATTAAGGACAAAGACAGGCTGTCTGACTTGTACGTCCGCACCGGTATCGAATGATAGCGTGACTGACAATACTTAATACAGGCCGAGACCGTCGCAAGAAGTGTGATGAACGTCATCCAATCTGCTCCGGCTGCAACCGGAACGACCTGGTCTGTCAATGGCGAGAAGAACAGCAACCCAGCCGAGAATCAGCATCAGCAGTATCAGCATCGCGGTTAGCATGGTGTTCGTCATCCAAATCAGAAACAGAATCATGTCCGTCGCCGCCTGCGAGAACCTCGTGGATGGAGCGCAATAGACCTCGTCAATCAAGCTCGTCACCGTCGTCGTCATCTATCTCATCGTCCACCTCATCGCCCACAGGCACGAACACGAGCTCAACGACAACGACGACGACAAAAACATCCAGATATTCGCATGCGGTGCTAGCTTCCTCCGTCTCCTCTACCACTCCGCCCAAACTATTACCCATTGGCATGACGGTAGCGTATCGACCACCTGGTTGGCAGGGGCGGCCAACTGAATATTCTTACTTGCTTGCGCATTACATTGACAAATTCCTACCTTTAATGTCGCGGCCATATGCCCATGCCGAGTTTGGAAAGATGTCGTACTCGGTCCGGCTGGCCCTCTTCCACCCGATCTTGATGGATGTCTACCTGGCGGTCGCCTCCATCCACCTGGCCGCTGGCGGGCATCCCGAAACGATGAAATCAGCGATCAGCCTCTACAACTCGGCCATTCGAGGACTTTCCCGAACGATTGAGGCGGGCGAATCGGATGGATGTGAGGACTGGCTGATGTTGGCATCGATAGGGTTATGCGTATTTGAGGTACGTTTGCAGCTGAGTTCCTCGAAGAATCCCGCGTCCAAGCGATCGAGTGATCAATGATAGAGTGCAATGTATAACTAACAAGGGGACTATGGTAGAGATGGCATATTTCCAACCACGTCAAAGCAACTACCCATCTCCTCGGGGCTTTCCAAATCTACCAGATCCGATGCAGGATGCCGAGAATCAAGGATATGAAACTCGAACGGTGCTTTGCCGAGACTCTGATCTACCATTCCTCGATCCTTTCGCTATTTGAAGGCGCTGACGCCGTCTGTCTCTCCGACGAGATCCTCAAGGAGTTGACCAGCATCCTCTCCACCAAACCGATCCCTGAGGCTCCGCAGTGGGCGAATTCACCCCTGCTCGGAGGGTTTCACACGCTCTTCCGGCTAATTCTGGATATCACCAAGCTCCGCTCCGATCCACACAAGACCCAATATGCGGCTCCGTTGGCCCAACGACTCGACGAGGTCGACCGTCTCATCGAGGCGCGGGTGCTGACCTCATGGGACGAGAAAAGAAAATCCAACTGCTGCAATGAAATGCGTATGTTTTCGACCGCGACCAAGATCTTGTTTCTCAAGTTCATGAATCCGCAGTGTGGAATGAGCGATCCACTGATTGAGGGGGTTGTGCAAGAGGGGTTGCAGCGCATTCGTGTATGGTCGCCCGATGATCGGTTTGACCAGTTCTTTTGCTGGCCACTGCTCGTGATTGGTTGTGGTCTGCAAGCAGCCGACGACATTGAGCTACTCCGGACCAAACTCGACGAGATCTGGGACACGACTCGTTGCGGAGATGCACGTCGAGTGAGAGCGACATTGGAGAGTGTCTGGGCTCAGGAGCAGGATCCGATCTCCAGGGACAGTATGACCGAGGTCTGTACTACTCGTCCATGTGGCCTGGACATTTTGCTCCGCAACGACGGTGTTTTCGGTTTACTACGAACTTGAAAGACATACTATGCACATTGTGGTACTATCGGATGTGGCCAAGTCTATCTCCGGCTCACGGTGTTTGCGGCCGGGTCTCCTAGGACCTTGAGCTTAAGTATAAAAGATTGACTTGAATGCCTATCCCTCAAAGAGGGGCGACCTGAGAGGGTCGAGGGGCCCTCGGACGCCTATTCGAAGAAGGAAACTTCTCAGGTCGCCTATCCGAATAAGGAAACTTTTTCTCCCGTGTGGGACCCACTATAGTCTGTCCTCGAACAAGCATAGCATATTATACTGATTGCACTTATCATTACCGCACAGTGGATACCGAGATTTTCCAATCGGTCAGTATATCACATTCCTCAAACAGTTGCTAAGTACGAGCTGTTCTTGGATTTGTTACCCCGCCGTAGATTGTCTGCTACATGTTACGAATGGACCCGGTAGGTAAATGAGCGCCTGTACATCAAAGATACAATCACACGTAAATGGAGGAGCCACTAAACCCGGCCCTTGCGCATACCAAGAGTTCGGCTCTGGGCGTCTAGGCATGGCCTATATTGTTTCCACTTCCAGAACATCTGCCTCCAAAAAGACCGATGGGCCCCGAGGTCTATATAAAAGATAAGGAAGACTAGATGTGTATTCCGAATTATTCAATCTTAAGTACAATCAATCAATCTTCACATACCCTCAAGAAACATCCATCAACCTCGGTTTCCTAACGCAAAAAATGGCATCTCGTCACAACTACCCAGGCATCGGTGCCACTTACTCCCAACAATTCGGCTACGCCCAAGCCGTCCGGTGCGGAAACATCATCAAACTCTCCGGCCAAGCCGGCTGGGATGGCGAAGGCAACGTCTCGACCGACCCCAGTGCCCAAATCCAGCAGAGTTTGGACAATGTCGAGAAAGCCCTGAAAGCCGTCGATCCCAAGATCGGGTGGGAGCACGTCGTGCAGGTCCGGTCATATCACATCAACTTGGACGAGACGGCGATGCCCATGACGGAATATTTCAAGAAATTGATGCCCAAAGGGGGTCCGGTTTGGATTTGCTTCGAGGTCCCGAAGCTGTTGATTCCAGGGACGGTCATCGAGTTGGAAATTGAGGCTTATGTACCATAGAAGAGAGAGAGAGTGTGTGGGGGAGAAGTATGAGGGTATCTAGACAGATGTTTCTGCCGATGAAATTGAATCATGGGATGAAAGAAAATGTATTACATAGATTCGTCCTCTTGAATGGGATTTTCCTCTGGAGCTCTGGTTATTGCCTGTGTAATCGCTTCACACACTATTCAGCTCATCTCTCTCTCGCCGTCTACCTTGCTCCTAGTCCATCCACTCCCGCTCACTCGGCTTTTCAAGTCCTCGCATAACTGTCTAAGCCCCAATAAACCAATAAACCTCTCACCCCCTCACCACCGCCGCAATACGATTCGTGTGGAATCGCGCAGGATTCCCCAGGAAACAACATGCAATCACAGCCCCACACCCGAACCCGACGCTAGTATACCACACATACTTGAACGCCGCGGCATAAGCCCATCTTGTCCCAATAGCGGCCTGTTGTAAGATCGTAGCATCGACCCCGGGCAATAGCGCAGCTTGATCGGGAGCCGTGAGAAAAGTCATAACAAACTCTTCTGTGCTGTTCGCTGGAAGTCCCGCCGCGAGAGCGTATTGGGCCACCGATGCAGGGAGATATGTCTTTAGTTTGGCCTGGAGCACGTTGAAATAAATAGCCGTACCAATCGAACCGCCGACCTGTCGGATACACAGGGTGAGGGCCACGCATGTGGCAATCGAGGTATCTGGCGTGGCGATGATGGCGACTGTGGCAGCCGGGACTATGATCCCTCCCACACCGAGACTGCTAAACGTTCCCAGGGTGATGGCCAGGCTTTGGCTGTCGGGCGTTACCGTGGCGAGGGCACCAGTGAAGACGGCTATATAGTTCATAGTAGTCTGGTTAGCTAACCAAACCATCTAAGAATTAGGCCAGACGTGGGGCCGGGGTCAAGGTAATGCTTACTCATAATGACAGTAGCAAGGAGGAGAAGTTCGCGGTTATACTTCTTAAAATAGGATAAGGAAGTGTTTATGATGATGGCACCGATGTTATTCGCCATCCCCGGCGCCAGGGTCCTCAAGCCCACCTGGAGAGGATCGGCTGTGAAGACGGTGCTGAACATGAGTGGGAAGAAGTTGACCACAGCCATGAGGCCCATTCCTGGATCGTGTCAATTGGATACTATGTATGGTGTCTGAAGTCAACTCACCTGCCACAAAGCATATCACCAAAGCCATGGCAACCACTCTTTGGCCCGTAAACATCTCATGAGGGATGATGGGAAATTTAGCGAATTTCCACTCCCACAAAGCAAATGCGACGACAAGGAGAATGCCAATGATCAGAGTGCAAAGCACGTAGGCACTGGACCAGGGGTGGAAGAGACCGCCAGATTGAAGGGCAATTAGACTGCATGAGAAAGAGGAGGTCAGTAACAAACGTAGCGTCGACGTGTGGGTAAAAAAGAGCGTCGAGCCTACATCAATGTCAATCCCGAAATGGAGAGAATAGCACCTCCAATGTCAATCTGCTTGAGGATAGATTTGGCGGTCTGGCCTGCGGCTCGTGTTTGGGACAGAGGAAAGTAGAAGGCCGCAATGCCGGCGAGGGACACCGAATTGAAGATGCTAGATGTATCAGTGGTAGGTACGAGGTGAGAGCCTTGATAATAAGGGGACCGAGACTAACATGCATATATAGTACAGCCACCGCCACGTCGCGTGAACGGACAACAGTTGACAGTACAAAACATACGGGGTGAACGGAAAGATGGTGACGGTGACGATTGCGAGGTAGATTCCTCTTTTGGTGACTGGGACCAATTCTGACATTCTTTGGATCGTTTAGCAAGAGATTGGACGAACGAGGACAGAAGATCCTAGGACGCACCCTGCCAATGCAGTCAATTCGCCGACCGCTGCTCCCGCCCCGGTAATAGCCATGCCCGCAATGGCCTGGGCAAACGAGTGTGTAGTGGCCATGATGATGTTGCCAACAATCACGACAACCCCACCGAGGAGAGTAATGTTGCGACGACCCATGATGTCCTGAAGGTAGCCACAGAAGGGGGAAATGGCTGAGAACACCAAAGCATATGCTACGGGGATCCAAGAAGCTTTGTCAGCGGCACCCACAGAGATTGCAATGTAGGTGAGGGCGCCTCCAGAAAAGTACAGCGGTATTTGAGATCCTAGATTGTGTGAGAGTGTTAGAACTGTCCCTCAGAGACGCAACTTGTTTCACCTTCTGGAGAGAAACGTACCGACGTAGAGCCCGCATAAGCCAATAGTGGCCAGAATCTGTTTTGTGGTCCAATTGACTCGACCATCGGAAAAGTCGCCCTTGATGGGTCCTGTGTCGTGGTCGTCATGAGCATCAGGCTTATCATCAACTTTCTCTTGGTCACCGACATAGCTCAGTGCGCTTTTGGTCTGGGACTCTCTCCTCTCTTTATCTTCCTCATGAGGAGGGAGAGGGTGGGAATCATGTTCGAAAGCCATGGTAGTGAGGTTGATGTGTACAAAGGTATTGTATCTATATGTGCAGAGTATTGCTTTGAAAGATACAAGAATATGCAAGTGACCCAGAAATTGAGGACTTTGGAGAATGAGAACTCCTCGGGTCTATATAGTATTCCTCCATATCTCTATGCCTTGCTCCCTTTCTCAGTCCTCAGTTCTGTCAGTGCTTTGTGAATACGAGGAAGACCAAGGACCCGATCATTCGAGGGCACTACTCTGAAGCCCGAGGATGATGATACTAGCTACTAGTACTACTGTAATCGCTAGCCAGCCACAGCCGCCCGACCCCAGCCAGGACTTTGGGCACCGTATCGCCACTTGAGATTCTGGACCTAGAACACGAATATGTGATCTGGACACCCAGCCGCCTGGCCCGGACATACTTGACTCCACAGATACAGCGATATGGATGTCCTCAGGCACAGAGACCATTCCTGTCCCGATATGGAAAGTATTCGGACCAGAATCTCGTAGATTTGATAGGTTTGTCATGTACTATTGACATGGCACCCAATTGCCATGTTCATCTCGAGACTGGTGAGTGGCTCGAGATGATAAGGGTTTAAAATGTGGGGCAAGACTGGGGGCATTGTGGCCATCCGGAGCAATCAGAGCGCAGAGAAGAAAGCCGTAGACACCGAAAGCAGCCGAGGCAGGATATCATCTGTGCTCTTGTGCCACGAAGACCCTGGGATTGAGGTATCTATGGATCCACGATATAGTTTGGAGATGTGTGGAGTGGTTTGACTTGCATTCAGCTGGATCTCCTTATCAGACACCACGAGTACGGGCAAGCCAAAAGTCAAGCGACGTTTTGGTGTGAGGAGGGAGGGGGTGGACAGTGATAATCCACATCAATGTCACCCACGAACGGAACTGAACAGACCACATGTTTTTGAATAGATAACGGAATGCAAGGACACATTACATCGGTATAGACAGCGAAAGATGTTCATTGATTACCACTTAAGTGACACTATCTCAGCAGTCCTTTACTAGACTTGACCATACGATCAGACTAATCACACCGCCTATCTCACATCTTGCCCCTACAACCAAGTACCCAGATTGACTAGACACCGTATGGTTAGCTCTAGTGCCACGATAAACGATGCAAACAAACTCACCATGGACCGCTTTGACTTGTGTATAGGCAGCAAGAGCGGATTCGCCCAACTCTCGACCAATACCACTTTGCTTGTATCCACCAAATGGAACTCCAATATGGGAATCTTGAGAACTGTTGATCTGTTGTGGACGAATTGTTAGCTTCTTTCCTCACTCCTTAACCAAACGTCGCGTTATGCTCCTGAATAAGTAGTGCTTGCTTACCCAAACGGTCCCGGCATGTATCTGACTCGCCACACGATGTGCGCGGACACTGTCCTGGGTGAACACAGCAGCACTCAATCCATAGTCAGTATCATTGGCCTTTTCAATCACCTCTTCCTCCGTCTTGAATGGCTGGATCATGACGAAGGGCCCAAAAATCTCCTCCCTCACTGCTCGCATGTCGTTGGTGGCGTCGGCAAAGATGGTCGGTTCGATAAAATATCCGCTACCTTCACCCTTGACACCCCCCAAGATCAATTTGGCTCCATCGGCTTGAGCTGCTTCGACATAGTGTAAAATCTTTTCGTGTTGACTTTTCGAGACTTGGGGGCCGTGATTCACGTTCGGGTCGAATTGGTTTCCCACCACTGAAGTCTTGAGGGTGAACTCTTTGAACTCGGCGAGAAATTTCTGGTAGATGGATTCCTGGACGTAGATTCGGGATGTGGATGTACAGACCTGACCCATATTGGACATAATCCCAACACGAGACCATTTGATGGCCTGATCGAGGTTGGCGTCCTCAAATACCATCAGTGGGCTCTTCCCACCCGTCTCGAGAGTGATGTTTTTCAGGTTGTTGGCGGCTGCACGCATGATCGCTTTTGCCGTGACGGTACTGCCAGTGAAAGCAATCTTGTCCACCCCGAGATGGGCGGCTAGGGCCGCTCCTGCGGTCCGACCGTAGCCATTGACAATGTTGAGCACGCCCGGAGGGAATCCGGCTTCTTGAACCAACTTGGCCAGGTACAACGCCGAAAGAGGGGTTTGTTCTGCCGGCTTGAGGATGACTGTGTTGCCACAAGCCAGAGCCGGGGCGATTTTCCAGGCGGCCATCTGCAAGTGAGAGTGGAAGTGAGCAGCCAGACTTGGGCAGTGAGAAATTAAAAGGAGATCTAGACATACCATGAGAGGGTAGTTCCAGGGGATGATTTGTCCACAAACACCTGTTGTATGCACAGTTTAGTCTCGGAATTCCACCTCGTTCGCATATTGCCCTGGCTTCATGCACCCAATGGGCAAATCTCCTTGGTCATCAGGTATCCTTACCAATCGGCTCATTGACGGTATACGCCAACTTGTCACTTCCCACGTCAATGGTCCGGCCAAACACTTTGTCGGCAAAGCCAGCATAGTATTTGAGCACGGCTATCGTCTCCGGAACATCTTCCCCACTCGCCAACGAGTATGGTTTGCCATTGTCCCAGGAATCGATGGTGGCCAGAATATCCTTGTCCCGCTCACAAAGATCGGCCAGCTTCCACAAGAGATAGCCTCGCTCTGCTGGGGTCAGGCCACGCCAATCGGCCGACCTGAACGCCGCTCGGGCAGCCTTGACGGCGGCGTCGATATCTTCTTGTTCTGCGGCTGCGACCTTGGTGATGACCGATTCGTCGTAGGGATTAACCGTCTCGATGGTACCCCCCGCCTTGGCTGGCACGAATTCGTTGTTGATGAAGAGGCCTGTCTGGAGTGTCAGCTTGATGATCGTCTCTTTGATTCCAAGGGATGGTCTGACCTGTACACAGAGGGAATGAAACGCCATTCGGCGCTGTCAGTTGGACGGTACCAGCCATTTTTACGTGATTCTGGGTTCAATCTATATGAGGATCTATATGGAGCGACGATTAGGTTGAAAGTGACAATGCCGCCGTACTCGTACCTGTTCCAGACAGCAAGGAAGCGGTTCGGATGATCGAAATATATACTCGACACGGTCTCTCAACTCGAGCGAACCAAACCATTGCAAATACAGCAAGCACTCTGTCTGGTTTTAACCTCGAGTCTGCTGTCTCCATTCCCCGTTCCGACAACATGTTCCATATGGACCATACGTGCATGTACGGTCCATCTGGCCTATCTAGTTGCCATCTACGGTTAGACTGGGAAGAACACAAGGCGCAGAGGCGGGGATTGAGGCCCGATGGCCGAGGGATCCACTTTTATTATAGGCCTGAAGCTTGACCTCGAGGACGTTCCGGGCTCGACGACTCGTGCGGGATTGAAAGCGGGATTGGTAAATCAAATGCCAATCCAATACCCGCCCGTGCCACCTTTTCCTACAACCCAAGACTAGATGTACTTCTTCCGCCCCCCCGCCTATACTTCACACTCCATATTCTTTACCGACCCTCCTTTACACTTATTTGTGCCTCCCACTTCTGGTAGACTGTCGTCTTCATCCTCTCCCTACTCTCAATAGTTAACCATGCCCAAGAAGACGATGACTTACCACCCATGAGCTGAGGCATTGCAGTCCGCCGACAGAACCTCTACTTGCCTATCCCTTTCCCTTCGTTTCTCACGTGATACTCAAGATCTAACATCCTTAACTGGACGAGAAACACCTTCCCACCCATACTCCACCATCGAGCAGTGAATCTATGCCAACGAACTATGCCGGCCGCGCGAGTCCGAACGGTTCAAGGGTCATGTTGGCCGTGCAAAAAACGTCGTGTGAGATGTGACACTCAGAAGCCCAAATGCGCAAGATGTAGGGCATCTGGGGCTGTGTGCAACTATGCAGAACTGCTCGTGCGCTGGAAGATTTCCCTCCCAAACACCAAGGCCGTGACGAGAAAGTCTTGGCCATCGCCGTCACCATCACCATCGCCTTTGCCTTTGCCATCCAGATCACTGTCACGCCCCCGATCCCGACCCAGATCTCGGTTCCGGTCGCCGTCGCCGTCGTTGTCAGTGTTACTGTCACCATGCTCGTTGCTATCGTCGATGACCCTACCCAACCCTTTTGAATCATCACTGGCCCCCACCCAAAGAAACTCTCTCGACTATTTCCAACACTGTCTCTGGCCACGCTTCTTCACAAGCACAGAAGAACCATGCCAGCCTCCCATTTGCCTCGCCCTCATGTCGAAGTCTGTCCGGCAAGTCATCTGTGTCTTTGCCGACATTCACCGGATCATGCGTTCAAGCTCTTGTGGGATTGGAGGTGGCGAACATCTACAGCGGAAACGTCTAGATTGTGTTTCGGCGGTTCGTCAGGCGGTCCGACAGTGTCTCACTCAGACACCTTCCGACGCGAACACCGGCAGGCAAGGGTTTGACAATGACAGTGATTGCTATCGCACACTCGACTGTCTACTCGTTGCTGTCCTCCTTATCTATTTCCTTGATGGATTCATTGATTGCACTGGGTATTTGACCCCGATTTTCAGCCATCGCACGGGGATCAAAGCCATCCTCGACCATACGGGAGGACTGGAAAATCTCCTTTGCACCGCTCCTGACGACCAAAAAGTCCTGCTCTCCGAGTTTGCTTCGAGTGATCTGACCTATGCCATGTGTCATGGTCTCTTGCCTCTCTTTTCCTCTTCCAACATCTGGGACCAGCTTGATCAGGGACCCGTTTGGTGGGATCGACCTAAACACGCCGCCTATTCCCTCGCGGCCGTGTTTGGCACCATCACCGATATGCTTGTCTACCAACACGAGCGAACCAGTAACGCCTTTGATGAGTGTCAGGAAGGGGAACGACTTCCCCTCGATGTGGACAGAGTACAAGAGTTCGAGGCTCGACTCCAGATCAAATCATCAATGTACGAGTACGGGCGTGGTCCCGGATCCGGATCCGGCATTTCGCTCGAGATCCCACGACAAGCCCAATTCCAACTCGACGACGCGAATGACGATGAGATCCCTATGTCCGAGATGACCCGGGTGGCCAACGCCGATGCCCTATGCCAGGCCTTCCACTATTCGGCCCTCATCTACCTCTACCGGGTCATTTGTGGTTTGCCACCCCGACACCGCCTAGTCCAGACGAATGTCCAACTGGGACTCGCGTGCATCGGGGCCATCAGCGACGAAGCCAAGGCTCAAAACTGTGCCATCTTTCCCCTCTACATCATTGGTGCACATACCTTTATGGACAATTCGAGACAATTGGTGCTTGAAAGACTACAGTCCATTTATGCCACTCTCCAATTCCAGAGTGTTGTGTCTGTCATTTCGGCCCTTCAAGCATTGTGGGGCTCGCTGCAACAGGATGGGCCATGGCACAAGGTGTCCGCGCAGTTGAATCCGTCAGCATTGATTTTGTGACGCACTCTGCATGTTATGGAAGACCCAAATTGATTATGACTTCTACATGGCACTCAACAATCGTGAAATAGAAGACAAATGTTGCGTCTACTGAACAGTTCATCACGGAGACTGTTGTCGGAGGCCAGAACTTAAAGCGTGTGGACTGTCGGGATGTGGCCAAGGAGAGCTTGAAATCGGTGTAACACGACCATGTTTCCCGAGTCTTTTATGACTCAAGGGACCCGATTTGTCGTCCTTTCGCAGACAAAAGCCTTAAGCTATTGTTCGTTCCTCTCAGACAGATGGTTGCGACTTCAGGACTGCCAAACCATACTCGGTTGTAGGCTTGGTGAGCACAGGCATTCCTCCCGAAGGCAAAAGGCCAACCCCCAAGCCGTTCGCAGCCCCAAAGTCAACTCGATCATCATCTCGCTGCAGCATTCTCGTCATGCACAGCAACGACCTCATTCTGCACCAACTCCTTTTCGTTCATGACCTCCCCGTTTCCCAAACCGTTCCCCACAAACAATGTCGGCTTCGCGTTCCGGAACTTCCTCACAGGCACGCCCTCCAGGAACAACAGATCGATCTGCTCAAGCGTTTTGCCTCTGCACTCCGGGATGCAGAAGTATGCGAACACCAGGCTAAACGCACTGGTGCCAAGGAAAATAAAGCCCACCTGCGGTCCCAAATTTCTTGGCTTGAACAGTAAATATGGCAAACTAAAGGAGAAAGCCCACTGAGTGAGAATGTTGAATACACAGCCGACCGCATAAGTATGATCTCGAAGACGCTGGGTGGGGACCTCGGCGACGACGGCGTGAAACAGGGGCGACCAGGAGAATTGCAGGCATATGCCGAAGACTGTCAGCATGAGAGTGGCGGCGAGACGAGTAGATCCGGTTTGAGAGTTCTTGGGAATGGAGCCAAGGGCACCCATACTCGCATATGCGCCAATTTGGATGGTTGAGGAGATCATCAGGAGGGGTACGCGCCCGACGATGTCGCTGAGGTACTGGCCTAAAAGCATGATAGGGATACAGATGCCGGTATTAATTATGGTCATGGTGAATGGATTGACGGCACCGAGGGACTGGACGTATAGTGTACCGTACTGTGTGTACAGGACTTGACCGGTGGATTGCACTACCATGTTGGTACCGATGACGATGAGAGTCCGCTTGAGATTTGCTGCGGATGAAGATGTCGGCATTGGTACGGAGATGGAAAGGGTAGCGATGAGATCACTTACTCTTTTGGAAAATTTCCCAGAAGCCGCCTTTCTCAACAGTCAAATCGATAGTGCTCTGGAGGACTCTGAACTCGGATTGCATCTCTTCCTCGGTAAATTTGCCCTGTCGGACTAGTCTGAGGTTTGCAAGAGCTTCTTCCTTTCGGCCTTTAGTCAAGAGCCATCGTGGGGACTGTCCTTGTCAGTGTGTTGTGATGATGCTTGTTTTGACAAGATAGAGAAGTGGCACCTACCTCGGGGAGGTATTTTACGCCAACGATCAGAGTCACTGGAATAATGAAGAGAATGCCGAACGGAATTCTCCATGACTTGTTGCCTTCGAGAGTACTTGTTGCTTTGCAGATGAGGTTTTGGATCAATTGTCCGATCTTGAAGGGTTTCAGCAGAGAGATGTCAATCACAGCGACTGGGCGAGAAGCTTACCAATAGTCCCGTCGCATAAGTACCAACAACAAACCCCCGGACATCTGCTGGCACAAGTTCTGATTGTATGACTGGGACAACAGCCAGCTCGATGCCAATGTAGACGTACGCAATAATGCGGCCAGCCAACATCTGCTCTTGACCTTGTGCTGTCACCAGAAGGGCGGCTCCAAGGATGGCCCAAAACGACATGAACCAAAAACAAGAACGTCGACCGAAGCGGTTGCTGATGTAGCTTCCAGATACAATGCCGAATGCCCACCCGATGTAGGGTAGTGCGTTGAGTAGGGAGAGATATTCGGACCGGAGTTGGTATTTCTCGGTCACTGGATCGTACTCGCCAAACTGCCTTTTGAAGAAGGGCATGGCCTGTGTTCCCCCAAATGCACCGAGGTCCATGCCTGTTTGGACAATCAATACTTAGTGGTTTTTCCAAAGGACCTTAGATTTTGAAAGGGTGAGGATGTTTACCAAAGTTGACCTGCGCAAAAGCTATGAGACAGACAGCATAGAGAAGCCTTCCGTTGAAGGACTTCTTGAAGCGACCAAGGCCCATGGCGGTCTTTGAGCTCGGTGAAGCGGTCATTGTTCCTGTTAACTGAATATCGCACCTTGTTTGGTCGTCCTTGAGTGAGTACTGATCCTTGCCTTGTCGATGGCGGCCGCGACACCAGCAGGTTATATATCCTGCGAACAGGGGAAACAGTCGATGCAATCCCCACAGCTTCCCCCGGATAGCATCCCACAGCTTCCCCCGGATAATCTCCCACAGCTTCCCCAAGATAAGTGGATTATAGTTCATGCTCGGGATGCGTCGTGGGGCTGGGCCCCATCTCCATGAGGTGGATCCGTTACCCCGTGAGAATATCTAAGAAACAACGGGGAAGAACGGGGATGCAAACTTTATTGGATCCATTCCTGCTCTCGTGGAGAATTGACGAAGTCTAGCCCAGACTTTGTCATGATGGGCTCGAGAACTCGGCGAGGAACCACTTATGAGCTGTGAAAGGAGGTGGAACAACACTCCAGCTAGGGACTTGATGTGTTCGTAGTCCCGCCAGTTCAACAACAGGCCGACATAGTTCCTTTGGCAGAAGCATTTTGAGTTCACTCCCCCGTGCTTCCCCGTTTCTGCCAATCAGATGCGTTGTTCCATTGATAGAAGTGGATGGTGAGCATCAGTAGAAGGTCACATGATGAGTTTGCATCCCTGCAAGGGCTGCAGATGGCAATCCTCCCCCATCTCATCGGGCGCTCGGCTGCAGCAAACGATGCATAGGGTCCTTTCAACCAGTCATGAAGGCTGATTCAGAAGAGTTTGATGGTCATATAACAAGCTTCTTGGATTGTGGAAGGGCTGTTTCTACAACTCCTCTCTGCTGCAAGCTGAAAGTGATGTGACCGACTGCACAATCTGAAAAAGACATCTGCATTTCGCGGCACTCGATTAGACACCTGTCTGCAATCTTCGAGGCTTGATCTTTGAAGCATCAAAGTATTTGAATCGGAAATGGGGTCGATCGGTGAAGCGAAGCGTCCGAACTTCCTGATCATCGTCGCCGATGATCTGGGATACAGCGACATTGGTCCGTTTGGTTCTGAAATTCCTACCCCGGCACTTGGTTTTCTGGCCAATACTGGAGTCCGTCTGACCAACTTTCATACTGCATCAGCATGCTCACCAACACGATCCATGCTCCTGTCTGGAACAGACCACCACATAGCTGGACTGGGTCAAATGGCAGAACATATGCCGCCAAATGCCAGAGATACACCTGGCTATGAGGGTTACCTGAACTTCCGCGTTGCCGCGTTGCCGGAGGTGCTACAAGACTCGGGCTACGAAACTATGATGGCAGGCAAGTGGCATCTGGGCACAACAAAAGAGACTTCGCCTTCTGCTCGCGGCTTTGAGAAATCATTTGTCTTTCTTTCTGGATGTCACAACCACTTCAACTACGAGCCACATCTCGAAGATCCCAACCATTCTGTCTTGAATATCAATGCAGCCAAGATGTGGATGCGCGATTCCGCCTTCATCGACCGCACCAAAGACATTCCTGCCGACTTTTACTCAACGACATCTTACAGTCAAGCAATAATCAACCAACTGAAGACCCGAGACACCTCCAAGCCCTTCTTCGCGTACCTCGCATTCACCGCGCCACACTGGCCGCTTCAAGCTCCTCAATCCGTCATTGCCAAATACAAAGGCCACTACAACGACGGTCCAGAGGCACTACGCACAAAACGTCTTACACAATTAGCCAAACTTGGCCTCATTTCTCCTGACGTTGCTGTTCCGCCCATGTGCCATGGTCCGACTGAATGGTCTGAAATGACCGAAGCCGAGCGCGTTGAATCTGCCCGCAAAATGGAGGTTTTTGCAGCCATGGTGGACCTGATTGATCAGAATATCGGCAAAGTCCTTGACCATCTTGATGCCACGGGTGAGCTCGACAACACCTTTATCCTCTTCATGTCCGACAACGGCGCTGAAGGTGCTCTTCTGGAAGCCATGCCGATAATGGGTGGAGCCTCCAAAATGAGCAGCATCATCGACAAGTATTTCGACAACAGCCTGGATAATATTGGCAACGCGGATTCATACGTGTGGTACGGACCCGCCTGGGCCACAGCATCGATGGCACCCTCGAGAGGCTTCAAAACCTGGATCACCGAAGGCGGCATCCGGTGCCCCTGCATCGTGCGCTACCCACCAGCATTTGGCAATCCAACCAACAATCAGGCTTACCAAACCGCCATTGTCAACGGTGGTGCGCATCCCCCGCAAACCGGCGCGCATACCAACTCATTCGCCACTGTAATGGACATTTTCCCTACAATTCTCGCCCTCGCCGACGTGCCTATTCCTGATCCCGTCAAACCCTTCCGCGGCAGAACTATTGTTCCCATCCGAGGCACGTCCTGGTTGCCACACCTCGTGAACAAGACTGCACAGTTTCACCCCAGCCCGGAGGAAATCACCGGCTGGGAGTTGTTCAACAGCCGAGCGATACGGCAGGGGCCGTACAAGGCGCTGTGGATGGCCGCCCCGAGGGGCAAGGACAGGTGGGAGCTGTATGATGTCGAGAAGGATCCAGGTGAAGTGGTGGACTTGGCGGAGGATGAAGCACACAGAGGCGTTTTGGAGAGGTTGGTGGCTTGTTGGGAGAGGTACGTTAGTGAGACGGGCCTCGTGGATGACCCGGTGTGGGGAGCGGAGGTTGATGCGGAGGTGGGCGTGGTCTGGGGTGGTAGGTGAGTGATAGACATGTTTAGAACTAGCAATTTCGGAGATTGTTCAAACTTGTGTAGAGACATGGTGGGCTCGGTGTCAAGCTCCTTCTACTCTATACCGAGAGCGGAGGGATATCAAAAAAAGGCCCCACGCGAACATAGAGATAATGCTCAGACAACATCGATCCTAAACCCACTGTGCCGCAATATCATTAGAAACCGTCATATAGCCCCACGACAGCCTCCCTTTACCGACCTTGGCCATCGAGCACGCGCCGAAGCAAGTTCTCTAGGACCCTGTGCATGGCCTCGACGCTTTTCGCTTCCGCGCTCCACAGCGCCAAATACTTGATAGCTAGCTCACACAGATGACGCCACATGTCCGGGGCTTGCAGGTGGGGCGAGATGACCGAAGCGAGGATGGCCATTGCGCCGGTGAAGGTGCGACGGCAAAGCTGCCATGTACCACCGTATCGACCGTGCTCAAATGCTTGGGGAATGAGCTGGGCTGACAGGGCGACATGCTGCTGCGCCAGACGAGTGATGTGGACGTAAGTTTCATGGCTATTGGCGTGTGGAGCCGCGGATCGTGAAGCTTGGTTGGTGACGCTGCCATTTTCTAGTGTTGGTGGTTGGTGATTCTGATGGAGTGCGCAGTAGAGCAGAGGTCTCAAGATGTATTCGCGCCAGTCTTGGAATCTGCTTTCGAGGTAGAAGCTTAAGCTCTGGTACTGCGTGGCGGTAGCGTCGAGTTTCAGTCTTGCGGGAAGGTGCGAATGCCACGCTCGAATCTGTTCCTCGCACTCGGAGTAGTGCTTGAGGAGCAAACAAGGATGCGACAGCCAATACGATTCGGACTTGGGGTAAATCAGACGGAGATTAGCGTTGATCGTCCGACGCAAAGAGATCTCGGCCAGGAAGAACAGCCATGACTGTTCTTGCAATGGCTCGGGTACGGGATCAACGTTGCTATCTTCATTCGGATCGTACAGGATCGCTGCACTAGGTGCGATAGCTGGCGGTGCTGGAAAGTCAGGATACTCAAATTTGTCAAGCCCACTGGACGGCAGACACATGTCTGGCAGGAGCTCGCTTCAGGATCAGTCAGTAGGAGTTTCATGTGTTGGGTGTGAACAATCGCCGAGTAGGAGCGCAGCAGCCCAGCACAGTCTGCATTTATACTTACATTTCTGCCCGAACACATGACCAGAAAACTCGCGGTACGACTTCGTGGATCCCATCTCGCGCATAGTCATGGCATTCCTTGTGACCAGTATGGCTCATCAGGTAAGCCTTGAGACGCATAGATGCTTGCCGGAGGTGGTACCAGGATTGCAAAGGCCTGATACGCAGCTTTTCGTAGATGGATAGGAAGAAAAAGCATTCGATGTCAGGAACTGACATTTCCAAAAGCCCTACCCTTTTCTTCGCTTCCTGCAAGTATGCTTCTGAGAATCCAACAGGATCCTTTTGAATATGTACAGGCAGCTTAGGAGCGTCATCCGGATGTGTCAGCATGTGGTCCGAGGGTGGAGTCTCACCCGACAGGATACAAGAGATGGCACATATGATCAACTATTGCATGGTCAGAACATGTACGCACAGAGCTGACGTGAAGACTTACTACAAGGCACGATCGTGTATCCCATTCGAAACCATTCTGTGCCACTTGCTTTGCAGACTGCATCAGCTTCCTTGGATCTAGAATCGGATTTCGAAAGTGGACGTGGCCCAGGAAGCTTCTGCACAGTGGTATAACATCCCTCAGATCTATCTCGGAAGTCGCTACTAGGCTCCTAACATTGGTCGGAGACAACCTGGAAACATGGCTGTCCTCGCAATTCGCGTCAGACACCATAACAGTCGCTTGGTGGAGGAAAGACTCGATCGTCTTGGCAGAGTCGTCAATCCAGCCGTCAAAGATAGGCCACCGACACACTGCTTCGCAACGCGCCGCTCGATATGGCGATGCATATGGGTCGACAGCACCACCAGCTTCATCAAGCTCATTGCAAACACCCATTGTTGTGTCGTTTGGCCCAGCAGGTGTTGGGATACTGGGTCGCAAATCCCTGCCGTTCTGTGATGCGCTGCCATAAGCTGCGGGGCTGCCACCGGCCCTCTGCATTTGTTGCAAGCATTCCTTGATCTCATCAAGACGCTGCACGAGATCACTGTGTCGTTCGTCCCCTGGACGACCTACTTCATCGCCTTCATCGTATATGCACGTAGCATCATGATGGCAGCACGCACCACATCTCGGTAGTGCGTTGTCACACCTTGTTTTTCGGAGCCGGCAAAAGGAACATGCAATTGCTGCACGTTTCCTAGAAGTGAACGCGCCACTGATATACCTTCGCTTCCGGGACTCTGCACCTTCAACACCGAGACTGATGTCGTAGCGTGGAGTCGATTTGGACATTGGTGCTGTCCGCGTGGGCGTGGGGCCAAAGCTCGGGTGCAAAGTCCCTGCCTGTCCCGGTCTATTGGACACGCGCTGTAAAGATAATCCGATGAGGTATACAATCGCGCTGTATCCAGGTCAGAATCTCATGATGAATCGTGGTGAAACAAGGGGCTGGAGTGGTTTGAAAATTGAGCAAGAAGCTAGCGTTCAATCAAAGCGGGGCGTGTCCATATATGTCTCCTCAGGCGTGGGTTGTCTCCACGCATAACATAACCCCGTTCACTCTTGGCAATCCACGCCGACGGGAATAACCGTTAACCGGCTGGATCCCATCGCTAAGTAAGACAAAGATAATAAAAGAGAGGAAAGAGAGGAAAGAGAGGTATAGCTAGATTTAGTACATTTTATCCTCAAGATAGCGTGGCAGACAAGTGAGGGTTAAATAGAAGGCGAGTGGAAGGTGAGGAGGGGGTGATTTGAGTGTGAGTCAAGAGTTCAGTGCCAGAGATCGAGTCCTTTTGCTGCCGACGTCGCGCACCGTATTGAAGCGATTCGCATTGAAGTGACCCTAAAACTAACATTGATATGTAATAATAATTAATCTGGCTCATATTCGGCTCAGCCTCAGCGTGATCTGCTCAGTCTGCTCAAGCCGCTGCTTTCTCTTAGCTCAACTACCCAGGTCAATCGAGAATGAAAAACCAGCGGTGCTTAGGATGGTATAGCCATAGCTCAGAATAGCTTAGCCACAACTCCCGTTAAGTAGCGAACTACTTAGGTCTCGAACCAGGAATGGACTTTGGAGAGGTCGAATTGGCGCTGGGTATCGTGGTATAAAGCTGTCCTAATAGGTGCAAAGAACAGTTCCTTTATCGCCGCTAAATACTAAGTATATCATTCCAATGATGAAAATATATCACTCTAAAAACCTCTTCCCTTCCATCCAATCGTTTCCACAATCTCAGACCGAAGGCCACTCCGTCTCATTAACACGATACACCAATTTCTCTGCGCTATACCTCCCCTCCCTCAGAATCTTCAACCCATCAATCACGCCATTCAACCCCCCCTTTTCCAACCTCAACGGATGAGGTCTCCACTTCCCCTGTGCCCAAAGCTTTTCTGCTATCGGCACGAATTCTCTTGCATAAGCCAAAGCATCCGGTCTCGCAGGAAATCTCTCTCCTTCAAAGATGTACTCTTCACCTGATACATCGTAACCCAGGAAAAAGGTCGACTTCACGTCTGAGCGTGGACAGTCAGGACCCAGGAGATTGACATATTGTCCACCAGAAGAACCGATCGCATCGGCGCAGATTTGGGCGGTGATTTCTGTGCTGACAGTGTCGAAGACGAGGCTTAGTTGGTTGGATGTGTCGAGGCGGATTTGGTGCCCGATTCCTGGGGTTCGCTGAACGGGAGAAGAAGAGGTAGATCAGTATGTATATTTGGATGGTCAAGGGATCGGTTGAGTTGTTTCTGGTACTTACATAGTCATATACAGCATCCGCACCGATTTGCTTAACTAGGTCGAAGTTCTTGGGTGAACATGTCGTTATCACTCTATGGCCAGACCTAGGTATGTCAGATAGATGTTCAGTCACAATCAGTCAAAGCCAGCAGTCCAAGTGCTTCTTCCTCTCTCTGTACTCTGCAAAGTACTTACAATTTCGCAAACTGAATCGCCAGTGTCCCTGTTGCTGTACTCCCACCATAAATGAGTATCACCTTACGATCTCGAATCTGATCTCCATCCTCATGCTGATTCTTCTCACCAGACGCGACATTCGGATACGGCAACCCTAGGACGTTATATAATCCAAACCCGGCCGAAATAACACCCACGCCAACAGCGGAAGCGGCTTCGAAACTCGTTTCGTCGGGAACTCGTAGTTGAAAATCTCCTTTAACGGAGATATAGCGTGCGAAGGCGCCGGTTTGAGGGTAGAGGTCGTTGCCTAGGAGGAACAAGAGAGGTCGAATGTTAGATTACAAGAAGACTCTTCTTTCTGCTTCGCTTCTCCTTATATTTGAAACTGTATACGTACCTCCATGCGCCATCCCAGCAACACGATCCCCAACTTTCCACTGTTTTGTGACATTCTTACCGACCTGTTCAACCACACCGGAGTAATCACACCCGACCAATGTGCCATTATCTCCTGTCCGGTCTAATGTCGTCCAGTCCGTGGGATTAAGTGCTACTGCTTCAGTTCGGACCAGGATATAGTCGTCGCGAACGGTTGGGATGGGGATCTCTTGGAGAATGGCTTTTCCGGCGGAGTGCCGGATGAGGCCGTAGTTTTTGGTCGCACTTGGGGATACCATTGTGTTGTTGCGTTGTCTGGTAGGGTAGACTTAGATGTTGTTCTGTCTCTTTGGCTCTGAAGGTGGGATCTACAGTGCAAGGTAATCCTTTCGGTGGGATCAATATGTGACAGGGGAGCTGAGTGAAATTGCTAACCTTTATATCATGATAAGATATAGTATCAGTATTTCATCCACAAACCCACAGATCGACGATTCAATATGATTGAGATAGAACTAAAGAAGCGCCGTCTACTTGTCACCATCATCCTTACAGGTGGTGACATCCTCCTCGGAACGGTAAAACCACTCCAAAAGCGGACATACACGGAGATATTCTCCAAAATCTCCACCAAAACACGGCTCCGAGGACCAAAGGATTTGGTGAGCGCGCTTAACAGTATTTCCTGAGTAATGAACTTCGTATGTTTAAGCGCGCTGGGCATGTTACATGGATCCTTCACTACAAACACAAAAAGGAGTTATGGGTTTGTTTATTTTATGTTATTGTGTGATTGTATGCTTGTAATTTTAACTACAGTAATTTGTAATCCCATGTTAAGATCTGACCTTCAAACGAGTGATTACCCAATTCCGCTGATGTTGTATAGTTGTGAGAAGTGATGAACTCCTCCTCCTCGTCCTTCATGAACTGTCCAAACGTGATGCTGAAATCCTGACGCTGAAATTTGAAACCTTAAATCCAGAAAACATAACCTGAGATTTCTCTTCCGTGACTGTAAAGGTATAGTTGTAACGATAGAAGTGCTGCTGCTTGTGCAGTTCTTCACGATGACGGCAATGTTGTTCCTGATGATATTTTGCGTTGAATGCCTCCGACATTAAATCCAGATTCCTCCATATCCAACTTTGTGATGATAATCTCGAACTCGAATAATTGTTGTTCTGATTTTGTCGTCTTTTGTGCGCGGGCCGGAGCAAGAAGCATTAGTGCTGTCGCCGCGGATAAAATCTGTGATTTGGTCGTGGGTTTATTTGCCGTGCTTGTCTACCCAATGCGAGCCATTGTTGTTCATAATTAGGTAGGGCATTCGATGAACCGGGCTGATTTTGAGTGGATTGTGACCATGGTTGTATTGGTGCAGCTGAGGATATAACTCTCTGTGGTATAGTTTGGTATGGTTTGCGCGGAGGGATGCCAGTTTGTTTATCGTTACGTGATTGCTTTTGTCATGTAGTAGGAGGCTACTGACACGCCGGAGGCGCTGAGCAACAGGAAGGAGAGAGATATCAGAGGTTCTACAGTCTCAATGACTGTGAATTGGCTGGCTAAAATAGCTATGGAGGACTTAATGCCTCTGTTGTTGATCGTTGGGTTGCTTGCTTCAAGAAAAGAGGGAGAGGAGGAAGAGGAAGAGGAGGATATGGACAGTAGCAGGGGTTCCTGCCGTCCATGCCTCATCACGTGGTGGCAGGTGCTTTCCGTCATACATATGTCACAGACAACTTTGGTTCCTCCGTGGATTTTGAGCTGGAGTTTGTGTCTCATTAACCTAATTGCGGTTGTAAGGAATTCTTGTCTATCTAGCTGTTCTCAAGGATGAGAGAAACGAACTCAGCCTATGTAGTATGCACCAGCCTAGCTGGCTCCTGCCCAATCTAGCTCCCAACTCCTTCCTGCCCAATCTAGCTTCCAGCTCCTTCCTGCCCAATCTAGCTCCCGGCTCCTTCCTGCCCAATCTAGCTCCTAGCTCCTGCCCAGCTGCAATCATCGATGTACTCCAGGCAGGAACGTCCTAACAGCGGCGGTTCCTCCGTGAATTTTGAGCTCGAGCTTGCCTCCCCAATTGAAGCCACTGTGCTTCAAAATTAGGTCGGCGAGTTGGCCTCTCAATTTCGCGGGTTCGAGCGGTCAGATCCACCCATTGTCGTTTGAAGGCAGGAATTTGGGGACATTCAGTGCCGAAGTTGGCCTTTTTGTATTCTATGCGCCACTTGGCCTGCCATATGGTGGCGAGAAAATCGGGTTTGACTGGCTTGATGTTGGGCTTAAAAGCCACTTCCCAGACCTCTGAGTCGAACATGGCATCCAGCAGGTCAGGACCGATGGGGAGAAAGAGATTGGAGTCCTGGGTGTTGTTAACGTGGTCTCGCCACCGAGCAAGCCCGACTTCCTCGGTAAGGGTGTATGCTGTATCCTGCTCTCCATGGCCGTCGGCGGATGGATCTCGAGAGAGGGTCTGAATGAGACCTCCAAGTGCCCAATCTTCCCACGCAAACCCGTGCTCATTTTCAGGGTCGTCTTTGTGGCGATAAGGCTCCTTGGCGCTGATTAGGGGGTTGGCAGAGGTATCGAGCCTTGCGATCCATCTGAACTTCCAGCAGAGATGAACGACTTCGTGGGTAATCGTCGCTGCCAACAAGAAAAGTATTCTGTTCTTCTTTTGCTGGGGCCACTGGTGGTATTTTGGATGTTGGAAGAATGTGGTAAAGTCCGTGCCAATATGGAGCGCTGTCGTTCGAATTCGCTTGACTTGTGTGGTCGGGTAGACGCCCCAATGTACATGAGCGGTCGATCCGTATGCGTCAAAATCTGGATGGTGCCCCAGATATATTTGAAAGTTGCTCATTTGGTCGAGGACAACGTCGTTCCACATGTTGATGAATGGGCTGTTATGGTGTGAATCCTCGATGATGAACAGTTCCTCTTCTCCATCTCGCAACGCCTTGTCTGTGTCTGTAGCCGTGCCCGCCCAGATGGAGTCAAAAAAGTCTCTGCTGTTTTGGATAAACCGGGTGGCCAAAACAAGTGCTGGCCGAATACGCTGGTAGAACTCGTCGCTAACCCTAAATTCTTCCTGCCTGAGCCACTCTGACATTGGCTGCTCTTGGGCATGTAAAAGGCATAGTCTGCTCCAGTTGGCTTGTCGGAAGATACGAAGGATAGGCTCCTTCTCGTCGACTTTATATTGTTTGAATTCTGCCCAATGCTCAGCTGAGAACTTCTTTCTCCAAGGCTTCCCGTTCATCTGCTCCGTGGGATAACAAAATGTTTTCCCTTTAGTCGCGAAATCGTAGAAACTGGCAGGTTGAGTATTTTGCGACTGTGGGTTGTTTCTGTTGGCTAGTAGTTGGCACATTGTTGCTGATTTCGTTGCTGATAGTGTCTGTCTCTGAGTAGCTCACAAGCAACTATTCCAGCGGTGACTTGGATTTCCTGCAAGGACTCGATATGAAATGTCGCGAACCAAGCGATGTTGCTGCTATGATGATGTGCCGATAAGCTCAGAACTCTTTTTGCTGCCTCAAATGTTGTTGCCAGTTGTATAGAGTGCTATATACTAAAAAACAAGATATGCTGTAATGTGTGTTTGATCGATATCATAGAGCTCGAATGGTGTACAGAGAGAGAAAGGGAGCCAGAGAGCAGAGGTGGGAAGGAGGGATCCTTTATAGTCAACTGAAGCCCACACCATAGAACCTAGATGTTAGAAAATCGTAACAGTTGCATAGTCAATGAACAGTGAACTCGAGGTACTGCCAGTGATATATTTGTATACATGACGCACGGTCCTTTCGTTTCCATTCAAAAACATGTCCACAACCAATAGTCATGCTGAGCCAGTGAATACCTGTGACCCCCACGGTGATCATTCATGCTATGAGCCACTTCACGGCATGAGAGAACCAGGCTAAGTCATGGTAGACCCATATCGCCTCGGAAATATGCCTTGACTCACCATCTATTGGTCTTGACAGCAACTCAATCGGAGAATCGAACAATTCATCAGGTCCACAATGTCATGCGACTCACCTTTCTCGCGCTAGCAAATCAGACAAGTCACGAACCATTTTGATGAAGTCGAATGTAATCCAAGTACCTCTTGCTGGATCTCAAAACCACCGACAGAGCCCAAACAAGGCCGGAATTGGTGAACTGCGCAGACCATCTGTGTTTCCATCAATCTTCAAACATTGAAGAATCCGTTTTCGCTGGTCAGGAGCAAAGGATTTGGGGCTTGGGAACAGCAGCGAAGGCTGAGCCTGTTACCTAGATTCAAGGTTCACACGAGTGGAGTGGCCCATATTCAAGTCTAGAGAGGATTCGTCTGCTCCACACCCCCGTCAAAAATAGACATTATATTTCATCTTTCAGGCGCGTCAAGCGTGGGTCGGCGTCGAGGAAGACCATGGTTGTCAACAACCCGGCTTGACACTAGTGAGGCAGACCAAAGAAAACCCGTATTGCACCCCACCACGAACCACTGATTCTCAAAGTTAGTAGGAGAGATTCCGAAGGTCTGAGACTTGAAGCTGCTGAAATGACCAAGCGACTCGCAACATTATCGATGGTGGCGTAGATAATAATTATGGATATTCAGCAGTCCAGGGCGTTTGACGCGTTGGGACAGGAGATATGTACGCTCAGCACGTGATAAGGCTGATATAGTCACGTGATAGATCCCCAGACTTTGCGGACCTCAAGAGTCTCGTCTGCTCAAGTTCATTTACCCTGCCACTCCGGTGTTGATGTAAGGATCCAGCCAACCCTTCTGTCCGATCGTGAGTTACCAGCGTCTTGACAAGTCGGCGTCGCGGCCATGGCCACAACCACGTCGCATCCCCCTAGTGCGACGTATGTCTTTCATCCCACATATCATTCTTTCCTTGTTAACCACCCCGCAGTGTCTATGTGAAGAACCTCGAGGAACGCATCAAGGTGGACGCTCTTAAAACAGCCCTCACCGAAATCTTCTCTGAATATGGAAACATCATCGATCTAGTCGCAAAGACCAACCTCAAAGCCAAAGGGCAGGCATTTGTCGTTTTCGACAGTGCGGAGGATGCAGCCAAAGCGATCGAGGAAATCAACGGCTTCGAGCTTTTCGACAAGCCCATGCAGCTGGACTTTGCACGTACGCGATCCGATGCGACTGTCCGCAAGGAAGATGGTGAACAAGGTCTAGAAAAATGGAAGCGCACACGGTTAGCCGAGAAAGAGAGAAAGCAAGCTGTTGAGGCCACACAACAGAAGTTGAAGAGACCAGCGCAAGCCGCAGGCGCACCAGATGCCCCTGGTCTTTCAGCAAGACCGAGCAAGGCGGTCAAGGGTGCAGGATTGAAGGCCTCAGGAACAAACAATGCCGCCATCATCCCCGACGAATATCTTCCTCCGAACAAGATTCTATTCTTGCGGGACCTCCCCGACAGCTACGACGCGGATGGCCTGTCGAGAATATTCAGTAGATTTGAAGGTTTCAAGGAAGTCCGAATGGTGCCTGGGCGAAAAGGTATTGCTTTTGTGGAATACGAAGCAGAGGCTGGGGCTATCAGCGCCAAAGAGGCAACGTCGGGCATGCAGCTGGGAGATGAAGGCAAAGGCATCAGAGTCACTTATCAACGAGCCTGAACGCGTCTCACGACATGGACTATGTAAAAGCTGCATGAATACTGCTATTGGCGTTTAGGGTTGGCACACTTTGATACCCAGGCATAGATGCGGGTTTAAGGGCCATAGGTTCAGACGATAATAAGCTGAACCACTCAAAAGATAACATCATCATCCTCACGCTCACCGAGTACGTCGACTGTTTCGGCATCTGGGGCTGGGGCCTCTTTGCCGGCGGCCTTGTCTTTTTGTCTCTGCTTCAAAATCTCTGCATCTGCCGCGGCCTGGTCCCGTTGTTTCTTGCCTGAAACCTTTTTCAGTCTGTAGAACTCTTCACGATCGAGTTCGTCCAACTCTGAATTGATGTCTAGTCAAATATTAGTTCACTTTCTTGCTTAGGACATGGAGAAGCCTCGTACATTTGATAGTGTTCTCCGTTCGAGGAATGATGACATGCTCGATGGCATTGACTGAGTTTGGTTAGCTGGCTGGAGTTTGTAACACGCATGAATTGAATCACCTCTCCTGTTGACGACCTTAATAACTTCATCCAAGATCACAAATGCCGTTTGAAGACTGGCAAGTTCGACCAACGCTTCCACAGCTCGACTATACGTCTCCCGACATCTTTGGACCTGCTGACCGCCCTTGCCGAGACCAGTCAAGCCGAAGTCGTTGATTTCGTCCTTTGTGAACCCTTCAAACTGAGGAAGATAGACACCAGAGACGTTTTCTTGCTTGGTCCGAAGCCTGAACCGAGCATTCTTGACTGATTCTTGGATTTGGTAGCCGATATCTCCACCAATAGCATATGTGACTTCTGCCAGCGAGAAAGATGCAATCTGCATTACTCTTCCCATCTTCCGTTTTGCCTCGTCGATTCGTTTCAGGATTTCTAGGGTTCGTTAATGTCAAGAAGCGTAGGGGGTGGTGTTATGGCTGTCGTTCTGTACCTCGAAATCGTCTATTCAGAGGTTAGCACAGGCCAGTAGATTCTGTTTATTTGTAGACGCGCTCACTTTGTCAATGCCTCGCTCTTTCTCTTCAGCAAACTGTGACCTGTCTGAGCCCCTTTGAGCTTGCTGTTCATCAGACCCAACGTCTGTCGGGTCGGAAAGACTGCCTCTCGCTATCAACTACGTCAGTAAGGTGCATGGACAACGACATGAAGAGCATACCCCTGCGCCTTGAGACATGGTGATTTTCGAGCGCCTCGGCGCTTTTGCAGGTAGGTAAGAGCGATTTCTTTGAGTGTGTCAGTTCAAGTCGAGCTGTATCAACAAAAGCAAGCTTGTCACGGTTGCCCAATAGTGACAATCTACGTTATCCTGGATGGCACATGCAAGGCTGCGCCCGCATCTCACGATGCCAAGACCCGGATCTCGGTTGAATATTTCGCCGAACAAGGCTGGCTGTCTTTCGCTTGACCTTCCTCGTCTAGACACCTTCCCAATCCGTAGCCTGCGTTGGATGAAGTTTCCAAAAGATCGCAATTTGCAATGCAGCGACTTGATCTTGGACGTGGAGTGGCATGAGATGCCGGGAATCGTCAAGATCATAGAGCCAGCGTCGGGTCGCACGATGACTACTCTTCAGATTGCGAGACCGGACTTCTACCTCATTTCCAACGAAGATGTTATCTACGAACAAGATATTCTTCGCAACACGGCCAGTGTCCGACCATGGCTCAACTACATCGATTACAAGACTCGAAATGGCACCATCCACGAACGAGCCTTCATCATGGAAAGAGCCTGCAGACACTTGCCTCGGTCATACAAGTTGTGGAAACTGTACTTGGACTTCCGGATCAAGCATCTGAAAAAGAAAAATCCCGTCCAATACCGAGCTGAGTTCAACAAAGTCAACGCGCTGTTTGAACGTGCGTTGATCTTGCTGAATAAGATGCCTGTCATCTGGGAGCTCTACCTCACTTTCCTATTGAGACAACCATACGTGGCAAAGACGCGAAGAACCTTCGACCGCGCCCTGCGAGCACTACCCGTCACCCAACACAATCGCATATGGAAGTTGTATAAATCTTTCGCCAATTCCGCTGGTGGAGAAACGGCTGTCAAGATATGGGCTCGGTATATACAAGTGCATCCAGAAGATGTCGAGGATTACATCGATTTACTCGCCGAGACCGGCCATTATCTCGAAGCAGTAAAGCAATACATCCAAATCCTGGACAACCCTAAATTCCGGTCAAAGCATGTCAAAAGCGAGTTTCAGATATGGAGCGAAATGGTGGAGTTGATGGTCACCAGAGCACGAGACCTTGGTGACAGTTCACTCTCTGGATTCGATCCTGATACAATCATCCGAAGTGGGATTGAAAGGTTTGCCGACCAGCGAGGGAAACTATGGGCTGGCCTGGCAACATATTGGATCACACGAGGTGATTTTGAAAAGGCTCGAGACGTCTTCGAAGAGGGAATCACCACCGTCATGACAGTGCGCGACTTCACAATGATCTTTGATGCATATGTGGAATTCGAAGAATCGATTCTATCCACACTCATGGACGCCGCATCCACGCGCGCAGCCAAGGGAATTGTTGATGCAGACAAAGACTTCGACGTTGACATGAGAATGATGCGGTTCGAACATCTGATGGATCGGCGGCCTTTCCTAGTCAACGATGTGCTCTTACGACAGAATCCAAACAACGTCGTCGAGTGGGAGAAGCGAGTTGCACTGTGGAACGACAACAAAGAAGAGGTGGTCCAGACCTACACCGATGCAATTGCTGCAATCCACCCCAAGAAAGCCGTCGGAAAATTCAACGAATTGTGGTTAAATTATGCCAAATTCTACGAAGAAGCAGGCGATCTTGACACCGCCCGCCTCATCCTCGACAAGGCCGTCAAAGTACCCTACAAATCCGTTGCGGAACTAGCAGAACTATGGCAAGGCTGGGCGGAACTCGAGCTACGCGCGGAAAATTTCGACGGCGCCATGAAAGTCATGTCCACGGCCGTCCAGGCACCCAAACGAAGCACAGTCGACTATTTCGACGAAACCCTCTCCCCCCAACAACGAGTGCACAAATCCTGGAAAGTCTGGTCCTTCTACATCGACCTGGTCGAATCCGTCGGCACACTGGACGAAGTCCGCGCTGCGTACGACCGCGTCTTCGAACTCCGCATCGCCACCCCTAACACCATCGTCAACTATGCCAACCTCCTCGAAGAACACAACTACCACGAAGAATCCTTCAAAGTGTACGAACGTGGTCTCGACGTCTTCACGTACCCCGTGGCATTCGAACTCTGGAACCTCTACCTCACCAAAGCCATGGACCGAAAAATCGGCATCGAACGACTCCGCGACCTCTTCGAACAAGCCGTTGAAAACTGTCCGCCCGAATTCGCCAAGTCTATTTATCTCATGTACGGCAAACTCGAGGAAGAACGCGGTCTCGCCCGATCCGCCATGCGCGTCTACGAACGCGCCACACGCGCCGTGGCCGATAAAGATAAATTCGACCTATTTGAATTCTACATCAGCAAATCCGCCTCCAACTTTGGACTGACGTCCACCCGTCCGATTTATGAACGCGCCATCGCGGCCCTTCCCGACCGCGAAGCGAAATCCATGTGTTTGAAATTCGCACAGGTGGAGCGTCGACTCGGTGAAATTGATCGCGCCCGTGCGATTTACGGCCATGCGTCGCAATTCGCGGATCCGCGTGTCGACAAGGAGTTTTGGGACACGTGGGAGAAATTCGAGGTGGCGCATGGAAATGAAGATACCTTTAAGGAGATGTTACGGATTAAGCGGAGTGTGGCCGCCCAGTTCAATACCGATGTTAATTATATTGCGAGTCAGGCTGTTAAGCGCGGTCAAGCAATGGCCACGACCGCCGCGGAGGCGGAGGCAGAGGCAGGTGGTGATGACGGTGGGAGTGGAGGTGCTGCGCAGGATGCAATGGCTGCGTTGGAGAGACAGGCCAGAGCGCCGGTTGGGTTTGTCGCTGCTAGTACGGGGCCGGAAGGTGGAAATAGGGGGAAGCAAGATGGTCCTAATGGTCCTGTGACGGAGAAAGTCCCCGTCACGGTTGCTGCGAATCCGGATGCTATTGATGTCGACCTGGATGACGATGATGACGATGAGGATTAGGATGGGTTGTGATGATGTGCTGTGATGATTTGAGAAGGATCGCCACTCTCTGTCTATAGTGATGGCTAGCTTCGACAATCTCATGTATTCAGACATCGTCGATGAAGTGTGATTGTTTTTCTGATTCAGGGGCTTGCATTTCTCACGTGACGCTTGACCAAAGGATAACGACATTAAATTCATTCATGTACAAATCTATTGTCTATTTCGGATAGTCCTTCAAATGGACACTTTGCACCTTGACGAATTGCTCAAAGCCAAATCTGCTGAGCGTAATGCCCTTGCCACTGTCTTTCCAACCCGTCCATGCCAAATCAGGGCTGGGATAGTCCGCACGATTCACAAACACTGTTCCCGCCTCGACTAGCCTGGTCAATTGCTCTCCCCTGGCCACATCTTTGGTCCATATTGAAGCTGTCAAACCAAAGTCGGAATCGTTGAGTAAAGTAATTGCTTCTTCGTCTGATGATACTTTCTGGACAGGAATGACGGGTCCAAATGTCTCCTCCCTCATGACTGCCATGTCGTGATTGACATTGGTGAGTAGAGTTGGAGCGACAAAGTTTCCCTCCGCAGGTGGATTCTGGAATGTGTTGTTTGATGGTGTTTCGTCTTTGGCACCTTTGGAGAGTGCATCTTGAATCTGGGCTTGAATTGCCTCTTTGGCTCGTGAAGATATGACAGGGCCAATGTGTGTCGACTTATCAGCCGGGTCTCCAAGCTTGTAACCTGAAAGGACTTTCTTGACTTCCGCAATGAAAGGGTCGTAGATAGACTCGTGGACGTAGACACGCTCGATGGCACAACATGACTGGCCTGAATTGAAAATGGCACCATCGACGATTTCTTCAGCCGCCCACGCAGGGTCAACATCCGATCGAAGGTATGCGGCGTCCTTTCCACCGAGCTCCAGACCAACTGTTAGGGATACTCGAGCGGCGGCAATTTTCTGGATTGCAATACCAGCCGCGACAGAACCAGTGAAGGCGACGTGATTGACATCAGGGGACAGGATAAGAGGTTGAAGATCGGTTGGGCTTCCACAGTGAAGATACTGAATGACGTGAGGGGGAAGACCGGCTTGGGTAAAGATGTCGAGAATATGCTCAACAATGGTAGGAGTTTGCGGAGATGGTTTCAAGATGACTGCGTTGCCGGCCAGAAGAGCGGGAATCAAGCTGTTGACCAGAATTAAATAGGGATAATTCCAGGCGAAGATGACCAGAGTGACACCGATAGGCTCCTTGCGCAAATATCTCTTGAAACCCTGCTCCACATCGCCGGGGTACTCTTGGTCGAGAACCTCTGGGGCAATTCTATTGAGATATTCGGCCCTTTTAACAGCAGTGGTGATCTCCTTTGCCGTGTAGGCAATGGGTCTGCCCATCTGCTCGGTGAGTTCTTGTGCAAGGACGTCTTGCTTTTGAAGGAGGAGTTCTAATGCCTTGGACACGATCTTGCGTCTGCTTTCGAGAGTCGGATGGGATTTTCGATAGGATCTGAACGCCTTCTGAGCGGCGGTCCCCAATTGAAGGATCTCGTCAGGAGGGAGGCCATGACGAGTCAATATGGGCTTGTTGGTCGTGGGAGAGATGGTTGTGATTGTTTCGGCGACCATGGTGAATACGAGGATGCTCGAGTCGTGATTAGGTCTGCTAGACTAGGTAGAGGAAAGGATGAGGAAGGACTGGATCTGGGTGGTATGTGAAGGGAGGCAGACTGTAAAAAGGTAGAGTTGCAATGGAATTCAATGAGAGTCGTTGACAATCGTAACAAAATGTGAAATGTGTCCCGCATCCGCATCCGTGGTGGTCGGAAGGCGCAATGATGACGCAGATCAGCGATCGCACTTGCCTCAAAGGTGGCGGAAGTCTCCGCGAGGTTTTTGGGGCACGTGATATTACATCTATCGTCCACGATCGCTTTATAGACTCAGGATGACCATGACTTTTTGGCTACTGAGCAAAGTAAAGATAAATTTCAGGATATATCGAGCTCAAGACAAGTCCTTGTCAACCGGACGACCCGCTCTCACTTTACCATCGATTCAGCAATCTCAAGTGTTAGAAATCGAACAAGATAAAGTGTGTGATCGTCTGCAGGTCTGGCAGACGCGACATAGGATCGCCTGACACTGCACCATCCCTCTCCAACTCCATTTGCATCGTCTTGGTCATGGCGACGTCGGCTCGACATATGCGCATCGTGACCCCGCCTGGTCTCAGCACTGGTGCCGCGATAGCCACTGAATGTTCGAAACATGCCAGCGCTGCCGAGAAGTTACCTCTCATCACCCAGACCCGGCCCAGCATTCTCAGCGCTGAGATGCGGATGAAGAGGAGACTATCCAACGGGATTTGCGGGTCTGTCACGTTCGGATCTGCGTTCTGGGTGTTTTGCGACAGTACATCCAACCGTCGCAGACAATCGGCCAGCATGCATTCCAACTTGACACTTGAGACACCCAGCACTAGTTCCGTACGAGCGAGCTCGAGGATGGCGATGATAGGCAAACTGGTGTTTAAACCCCAGGACTGTTCTAGCGAGGGAATCAATCGATTCAACATCAAGGCGGCTTCTTCAGCGTTGCCAGACTTGGCCAACACTCGACACCAGTACCCGTAGTGAATGGTAGGCTGGTAGGAGTGGGCTTCAAAAACTTGGGTCATCTCTTGTTGAATCGTAGCCTGGAGTTGGCCTCGCAATATGTTCTTTTGATTATTAGTTAATGGCAGTTTAAAGATGAGTGATATTGGGTGTTTCAAGCCTAGAGTCTGGCTTGCGAAGATGGAGAGGCGTTTCCCAAGAGAAGCACGTAGTTGTGGCAGTTGGTCAGTGGACGTTTCCATAGCCATATCCGCAATGAATGCATAGATCATTGGGTGCTGTGCGAGTAATAAGGATGTGGCCAGCGGTCGAATAGTCTCCCAGGTCTGATGAGCCTGGGCGGTAAGACCACCGGCGAGTAGCCCAGCTACTACCACAAGAGAACAGAAGAAGCTCAGCGGGCTTTGGTCATGGTTGAACCTACTAGCATGTTGAGATAACATTGATTTCCATCTAGTGTCGGCATTTCCGCGATAATACTGCGAGGTGATGGTGAAAGCCCGTTGAAAACATCGGTCGGATTGGTTAAGCCGAACGGCGGGAGCAGGAGCTTGACCGATCCGCCAGGCCATTTCAAATTGACGACCTGGACGTTGAGTCGATTTCGTTTTTCGAAGGCCTTGCGGTTTTGTGACCTTGTTACGAGCCTTCGGTCCCTTCTCTTGCTTATTTTTTGTCGCATCGTTGAGGCCCTTTTCGCCATGTTGTAGACTTTTCTCGCAGGAGATTACTGGGAGGCGAGTCTCGAGTGTCGACTGTTGACACTGAGCATAGCACTGCACATCGGTGCAGGAGGCATGAGTATCCGAGCTCGCTGCTAGGAACGAATGATCAGAGGGTGTAGAAAGAGCATGTGGAGGCCTGGTGGGATTTGCTTCATCCCTGGAAGTTGGCGAGCGTCTCGCGGGCAAAGATCCATGGCGAATGGTCAAGTCTTGTTCCAGATTGTTGGTATTCAGCGGGGAGTCTGTTGGGCCGGGGCGGAGTTGGCTATCAAGGTGGGGGGAGATGTGACCTGGATTGATCCGGTGAAGGCTCCATGTCTCGGCCATGCAGACCTCTGAAGGCAAATGTCAGGGTGCAAATCAGTAGCTTTGTCTCCCGGGTTGAAGCACTGCGGACCAGAAGAAATCTATACTTTTCAACAGTATTCAATGACAATAAATGAGTAGATCGTGTTGGAAAGACCACGCAAGATCAGGACTAAGCGTATTAGTCGACCGAAGCGGTTAAGATTAGGCCAAGTTCAGCCTGGACCCTGTGATAATGGTCACATAGGGCTGATCGACTGTGTCAAAAGAGGAAACGTCGTATTGGCAGTGGGTGTTGAGACTTGGCCTGCGTTAATGATCAACTTCAATGTCTGTGGAATCTGTAAGGAAGATGATAGCGTCGGTGATATGTCAAGATTAGGATACTAGTGAGTAAGGAACGCGGTTAGTATGAGAGGAGACTACAGCGATAGACAGAAGATGGACCCGGTCAGACTTTGGCCCGAAAAGAAAGTCGGCCCTTCTGTTTGCCAAGTTGTCGCGACAATCCTACCGGTAGCCAGTTGCGGCATGGAAGTGAAGATACGACCGCCGACGATGACATTGTGTGACTAAGCAGTCGTGGCAGCTCGGTCTTGACACCCAAATTGTACTGCCAACAAAATCCAGAGGAGACTAGCAAAAGCTTGATCGATGGGCTGGAGGGAATAAGGATGATGTTCCTGTCAACTAGCCTTTGTGTCGTTAAACCCTATGGTGAAGATGACAAAGGATGGATCGAGACCCTGTGATGAACTAACTTGAAGTAGTGGACGGTTGGACGGTTGAACGGTTTGACGGTTGGATTTAGGGCCTTGTTCTGTTTTGTTGTTGAGATGTTGCGCCAAGCCTGGCTGATTCCCTCGTACTTGCCTTGATTGTATCGTAATTCCTCTGTGCCTTCCCAGATTTCTATTCGTGAATGGACGAAAGACGGCAGGAACCCCGAACAACCATTCGCTCTTGCCTGACGATGAACATGAAAACTTCTTCTCGTCTACTGATCCTGCAGCTTCTGCAGCTTCTGCAGCTTCTGCATGCGCCAACCGCTTTAACGAGCGTGACAAGATGACTGCTGGCGCAACTTGCTGCCTTCGTAATCTTTGTCCTTTTGTTGGCTTTCTTACTTCAATTCCTCGGCTCGCATCAATACGATTAGCGATTAGCGAAGCTCCTTTGGGGGCCGATGTCATCTCATTTCACTGAAACCACCCACCCTTCATCCACCACAGCATCAAGCCCGTCACCGTGTCGTCCTCCCCAGATGACAAACGCATTACCGCCTTGATCAGTCCAGTTGTCACTTCCAAAGCCCCGAAGGCCAGAGGGCCAGTTGATCTGTTCATCGTCGGACCTTTCCCCCGGTTGCTCCTCCACCTCACATTTGGCCCATGTATGCTTCCCTGAAGACCATGAGTTCTTTGTCTGATCGCTGACAGTATCTCGAATCTTGTCCTTGATACTTGCGGCTGATGTCTGCTCCGAATCAATCTGGAATGACCAAAAGTCGTTCATATCTCCAGATCCGCCGACCTGACCCATGAAATATAGCAAATACTGTCGTCCAGCTCCAGTGGTGATGGGAATAACACTCGCACCTGATCGAGGCATGGGCAGCTGGGCCCCCTCTGTCTTGGAGCTGCCATGCTTAGGCTTATCACCTTCAGTTGCTGCAGGGTCCGATGCCTCTGTGCCAAAACTAATCACCTGCCACTCGCCAATACTCTTGACTAGTAAGTCTGAAGATGAAGGCGAAGATGATTCACCACTTGGCTCGTCAAGATCCAGGTATAGCACTCGGCCGAATCCATCTCCCAATCGCCATAGCCTGCCATGACGGTAAGTCATTGCTCCCTCCCCAGCAATTTCCGCTGGCCCAGGTTCAGGAATTTCTGGCAGTCTAGTCCACACACGACTGCCCACGTCAAAAGCCCACGTGTCCCGGCATTCGGTGGTCCCAATCCGACCACCATGCACAATGATCGTTCCGTGAGCATCAATGATAGGGCTACCTGGTAGTGAATTGGGTTGCGGAAAGGGTGATGCGACTGCTGTATGAAAAGCTCGTGGAGGTGGCACACCATCCAAACATTTCGGTAGGTCAGCCTGCAGCACATGATATGAGTTTGTCAACGTGTCAAAGACAACGAAATCCTCTGAACAGAGGGTTTGATTAGAGAGATTCACGCCACCCCACACATAAAGCTTGTCATCGACAGCCGTTGTGGAATGTCCGCTTCTGGCAAAATCTGCAGATTCTGACAGACTCGGTGAGTCAATCATCTTATCTGCCAGAGGACGATGGGTATCTTTGGGCTCTGGGATGATTGTTTGAAAGTCCTGTGGGCTCAAGTCACCTTCACCGTCAGCTGAAGAAGCAACGGGTAAAGTGAGGGCGGCAATTGAACTGTAGTCTTGATCCAGAGATGGTGCAGCCTGGCCACCGATGAGATACACCTTTCCCTTGACAATATTCACCGAATGACCCGCACGAGCGAGCAGTTCCTTTTGAGTGGGAGAGGTGATCTTGCGGAAATTCAGATGCAGAGGGGCAGTTGATCTCGCCACTGCTAGAGCTCCCAATGCAGCCCCTTCGACGGCTGTTTCCACTGCGTAAAATCCTGCCACGGCTTCAGCCATTGTCGATGGAAAGCCACGTTTTTGTTTCGCTGTTCTTGTTTTCTGTCAATGCCAGTAAGGTTGGAGGTTCAACTTGGAAGATCAACAATTTTCGATGTCGTCTGTTTACCAGGATGACATGATGTCATAAAAGTGGTCATATAAATAGTTTTGTGGATTCAAAGTATGGAGCGAGAGAATCGTAGAGTCAAAGACACGTTTTATTGAATCTTTTTGTATAAACTCGGATATCTAATGCAATCGCTTGCTAAGAACCAAACCAGACCATTTTGCCTTGGTAGCGACACCATGCGTCTTGTAGAAAATCAGGAAAACCACCCCCTCAAGCAGCCACTTTCGCCAAAGCAGACAACTCCTCCAAGCCTTTTGCCTCTCTAAACGAATTCGTATGTCTTCCCATAATCCAATCCTGGACCTTGATCGGCTCATACTTTGCCTTTCCCATCTCATCCCGACATCCCGGCAAACAATCAATGACAAAATCCGGATTTCCCGAGTAAAAAAACGGCACACTGTACCTCTCCCTCCCACTCTTATTGATCACCCTGTGCAAATTTGACACATATCGATCATTCGACCACCTCATCATGACATTACCCAAATTCACCACAAACGCCCCCTTTGTCGGCTTGACATCAATCCACTCTTTCGTCTCCGCGTCAAAAACCTGCAATCCACCCACTTCATCCTGAAGCAATAGCGTCACACTCCCGAAATCCGTATGTGCACCGATTCCGCGTTCATCTGCACTGGCGTCGGGTGCTTGCGGCGGGTAATGTAGCAGACGCAACACGGCGGCTGGTTCGGTGCAGAATGTTTGGAAGAAATCCTCGGAGAGGTTCAAGGTCAGGGCGATGACGCGCAGAATGTTTTCTGCTAATCGAGTCATGGTGGCGTGGTATTCGTCGACGACTTGTTGGAATTGAGTGGGGTTGGGCACTTGTTGTGGGTAGACGTTTTGACCGCAATGGATGCGGTTTTGGAGCACGTAGGGGTGCGTTGGGGCCAGTTTGCGTCCGATGAAGAAACCTTCTTTCAGGTCGCCGGCGGTTTTGCCTTCAAAGTTTTGCGAGCGGAGACATTCGTACCCGAGTTTGTTGGGGTGGTGGGCTGGTTTTGATGTGTTAGTATATAGTGGTCCTTTGAGTATGAGTATCAGTGAATTGTGACTTACTCTTATCGAGTTTCTCTTTTTCTTCCACGGGGAGAGAGAAGAAGTCTTTTGATTGTTGGAAGATGGCGTCTTGAAGTTCTTCAGATACCCCGTGGTTGGTGATTTGGAAGAATCCCTTTTCTAGACATGCTCGGCGTACTTGATCGACGAGGACTTGTTTTTGGGCTTTGTCGGTCGAGTAGAATGCTATGATGTGTGTTAGGTGGGCTTTTTTGGTGATTTGATGGGTTTTGGATAGATGGGGGAAAAGGGTCACGTACGGGAAAAGTCGATGATTGGAGGTGCGCCTGCGACGGGAACCTCTTCATGGACAACGCTTAATCGGGCTGTTTTAAAGGGTAGTTTGGTCGTGGTCGTCGAGGTTAAAGGGCTGAATAGTCCGTGGGGATCGCGAGTCATGGGCTCTTGAGTCTGGATGGCGATCATGATGGATTTGTATGATGTGATGTGTTGTGGTCTATATTGTATATCTCAAGCACCGAAGGCTGATTGATAGTGGTAGGAGCAGTGGCAATGGCAGTGGAATCTGTTTGACTGATCCAGGAGTTTGTTGATGTCGACATGGCTAGTCGGGAGTCCATGGTCTCTCTATATAGACAACACCCTCATCTTCCAAACCACCCAACACCATGATCCATCGCAATCGTTACATTGTGAGAAATTTCCATTTCGATAGCAAAGAATACCATTGCGCGGTTTTGCCAGATCCAGATTCGATAGTTGTCGACATTCACTGCGGAACCAATCAATCGTTCCATAGACACGGGAAGTTCATGGTTGGCAGTGTCTGTGCTGGGCTTCTGGACTCAAGGTCTGTGGCTTCTCCCTCCACATATGTCATTGGGTCCGTGCGTCTGGTTTATTTTGGGGAGAGACTTTGCCCAGAGCCACAGTGTCCCTCTCCCGTCTCGCATCGAAGAAAAGCATCGTGCTCTTGGACGAATAGCGTGACGGGACGACTCTCACTCAAGCTTTTGGCGCGCCCCGGATTCGGAATTCCCATGCGTGCCTGGTGGAGGGCAGGGTTTGTTCTTTGGGAATAGGGCGGCCGCAATAAGCTGCTGAGCCACCGTGCCAGTACTACCGTCACTTAACTGGGTTGTGCTGTGTGTTTCATCGTGCTGTGCTGTCGCTTGCATGCCTCGAGGCTTTCCCCGTCATTCAGCCTAAAATCCCACTCATGTAGCTGTGGCTCAGTTAAACAATGGTTGGTGACGACAATGTGGACTTTGAAATCACGCATATTACAACCTCGGGGTGACGCAAGCGGTGGATGATATCAAAACAAATCAAACGCGTGTCCGGCTTTTGGTGTTGCTATTCTGGAATTCGACACCAACTTACATGTGGGGAAAAATGAAGCTGGTCACTGGCGCAACACCTCCAGTGGATGAGAGGAGAGAGACGTAGAGAGATACACGATGGAGGTTACGATGATGATGGTAAGAGATAGAGGGTCATCTTCGATTCTAACAAGTTTTGGCTGAAGTACATCGTCAGTGTTATACACGTTTCGTTGGGATGTGTCCATCACTATCATCATCGCGATCTAGTTGTGGCTGTTTATTACAGATGCCATTGCTCCCCAACAGCCATCTGACATGCCGGTCTTGGGCACGATATCACTGCGCCTCCGATGTCGCAGTAACGTCCGTCCAAGGTTCTTCCCTTGAGGCGATGGTGACTGGATTTGGGAGTCGCTCTGCGTCTCTGACGTTCACCGTTGCCCACGTGACCGTGGCGTAAAGCGATCCGGTCAAGGAAACGATCTGGAGGACATGCATTTTGACCACTGTAGTCGAGACAAACGGCATCGAGCGGGAGTGATGCTATGCAGCTGCAGCCTGAGCATCCCCAGTCCTCGACAAGGTGCAGAGTGGGTTCGTAAATCAATGCCCGTGTCCATCGTCTTGGGGTTCCGGAGGATCGAGTTTGATCAAAGTGTCGATTCTCATGATGGCGATACATGCCTCGACCGCACTCTTGAGCTGCTTCACCTTGCTGATGCTGGGCTCCAGGACGCCCATCTTGACCACGTCCACTACTTTGCCTCGCATCAGGTCCAGACCATAGTTTTTGTACTGTCGTTTCTTGGCAATGTCCTTTTCTCTCTCATTGGCATCCCCATCCTGTACTCGCTGGCTTAGAGCATGTCTGAAACGCAGCTGAGCAACAAGATCTGACGAATCCTTTGCGGCATTGACCGCTAGAGTCTTCGGCACCACAAGAAGCGACTGTGAGAATTCTCCTATTGCCAGCTGCTCGCGAGATGACACAGTCATAGCAAATTCTTCCAAATAAATGTGGAGAGCGGTCTCGACAGCTCCGCCTCCAGGGACAATACTGCCCGACTCGAGTGTGCGCTTGACAGCCGATAATGAATCATGCACCGATCGTTCCATCTCGTCCAGTTGGTATTCATTTGAGCCTCGCAGGATGATGGAAGCCGACGAAAACGCCTTGGTGCCTTTGACGAGAATGCATTCGTCATCCGAGATCCTCTCCTGGACCACCTCTTCGGCGTAGCCAAGCGACTCTTTTTCAAATTTCTCGTCACCATTGAGATCTGAAAGGGTGCTGATCAAAGTGGCTCCGGTGGCCTTGGCTATCCGCCTAAGATCCTCCTTCTTGCACCTTCTGACTGCCATGGCACCTCGTTCGACAAACATCTTGAGGACAAGGTCTTCAATTCCCTTGGTCGTGAGAACAACGTTTGCGCCAGCCTTGAGAATCATGTCCACTCTCTCAAGAATGATGCCGGATTCTCTCTCTCTGATCTTTTCGAGCTGTTGTGGGTCTTCGACGGTGATCTGAACTCCGAGTTTCATTCTCTCCTTTTGTAGATTCATGTCCAAGCAGGCGATCTTGGCGTCGGTGATCCTGGTCTTCATGGCCTGTGACGCCACTGTGCAGTTCAAAGCGTAACCCTTGACGAGGATCGACTCTGTGGCACTCTTGCCATGGGCTTTGAGGATGTTGACCGCCTTGACGGGATATTTTGTTTCGTTGCGTTGGATGTTGACTGACTTGACTGATTGCATAGCGTCCACGACCATGTTGGAGAAGAAATCTGCATCGGCCCCGATGATTTTGCTGGACATTGATGTCTTTGCGATGTTGATCAAACTCTCCCGGCCTAGTGTCTCGACCTTTGTGGCAATGTTCTCTTGCATGTACTTGACCGCTTCTCTCAGAGCCAAACGATAGCCGGTGATGATGACTGTGGGATGAATCTTGTTCTTCATCAACTCATTGGCTCTTCTTAAAAGTTCTGCGGCGATGAGTACAACAGAGGTAGTGCCATCTCCAACTTCCTTATCTTGTTGCTGTGCCAGGTCAACTAGGATCTTGCCTGCGGGGTGCTCGACGTCGAGGAGGCTGAGGATTGTAGCGCCATCATTTGTGACTGTGACGTCTCCGATATCATCGACCATCATCTTGTCGAGTCCTGACGGACCAAACGAGGATTTGACGACATTGGCGATTGCCTGGGTTGCCAGGACATTCTGATCGCGAATGTCAGAGCCACTGATCTTGGTTCCGCCCAGGAAAAGGGTGCCAGCGTTCCGAGGGCCTTCAAAGATCCCGGCCATGATTGAATTCGACTCAGAAACAGGTAGGGATGGGAGGTTTGCGGAGTGCGGCGAGGGATGGTGATGGATGGTCGACCGAGAGATTATCAAGCGGCAGGCTGCGTTCCTGCGTTCCTGCCTTTGTCTGATGAAAATCATCGGCGCCAAGACTTGGGAATAATTTTGGGCAGGAACGGAAACGCGGGGCAAATTGACCCTGGCAATTGGCAGGCGCGACCCTCTCCTGCGATTTACCACAACCGCAGTCGGTCTGCTTTTGACTCATCCAACAATCTGCCCACCTCACCCTCTTAATACCATCACTCCCTGTGTCGGTAATCTTAAGATTCGTCCCAGGCTGTAGGCCATACCGACTTCATGTCTCACTCACGCAATCCCTCCAAGGCTGAACTTCCCACAAGGGAGAAGGAGGAACAGCCAGCATCCGCCGATAAGCCTACACCCAAGGAAAAGAAGCCCAAACCAAACAAACCCGTTGGCAAGCCAGAAGCCAAATTGCCCCAAGCCAAAGCCGCAGGCGGAGGCGGAAAGTCCAAGAAGAAAGAGGGCGCAGCCTTGATTGGTATCGATGTCGAGAAAGAGAAGGACTTTCCTGATTGGTATCAACAAGTCTTGACCAAGGGAGACATGCTTGACTACTATGACATTTCAGGGTGCTACATTCTCAAGCCTGCATCTCAATTCATCTGGGATGAGGTTCGTGCCTGGTTTGACTCTAGGATCAAGAAGATGGGCGTCAAGAACTGCTCCTTCCCATTGTTCGTGTCGGAGGATGTCTTGACCAAGGAAAAAGATCACATCGAAGGTTTTGCAGCTGAAGTCGCATGGGTCACCCACGGCGGTAGCACCAAGCTCGACAAGAAAATCGCAATCCGACCGACCTCCGAGACCGTCATGTACCCATACTACGCCAAATGGATCCAGAGTTATCGAGATCTACCATTGAAGCTGAATCAATGGAACTCGGTTGTGCGATGGGAGTTCAAGAACCCTCAACCTTTCCTTCGTACGCGGGAGTTCCACTGGCAGGAAGGCCACACTGCTCATCTGACGGAATCCGACGCGGGCAAAGAGGTCCTTGAAATCCTTGATCTCTATGCCAGCGTCTACGAGGACCTGCTTGCTGTTCCCGTCATCAAAGGTCGCAAGACTGAGAAGGAAAAGTTTGCGGGAGGTTACTACACTACTACGGTCGAAGGATACATTCCAGCCACCGGACGTGGTATCCAGGGAGGCACTTCGCACTGCTTGGGTCAAAACTTCAGCAAAATGTTCGGTATCAGCGTCCAGGACCCCAATGCAAAGACGGAGGAAGAGAAGAAGAACAACCTGTTTGTCTGGCAGAACTCTTGGGGCTTGTCCACTCGAGTCATTGGTGTCATGGTCATGATTCACTCGGACGATCGTGGACTGGTCCTGCCACCGCGGGTGGTGGAAACCCAGGTGGTGATTGTACCAGTTGGCGTGACCGCCAAGACCACGGACGAGGAGCGGGAGGCCTTGTACAAAGAGATCGAAGGATTGAAGGAAATACTCAAGGCTGTCAACGTCCGAGTTGAAGCTGACTTCCGTGAAGGATACTCTCCAGGGTACAAATTCAACGACTGGGAGCTGAAGGGCGTTCCTCTCCGACTTGAATTTGGACCTGGCGAGAGCAAGGGTCACTTTCTTACCACTTCGAGACGAGATCTTCCCAAATCCGAAGGCAAGGGCCAGATTGCCATCAGCGAACTCAACACTGCCGTGCCTGAATTGCTGGAGACCATTCAGAAGGACCTGTTTGCTCGAGCCGACGCCACATACAAATCTCACATCAAGAAGATCACCAACTGGGATGAGTTTGTTCCGGCATTGAACGACAAGAACGTGATTCTTCTTCCATCCTGCTTGACCGAAAAATGTGAAGATCAGATCAAGGAGCTTAGTGCACGCAAAGCCGAGGAGCAGGCCGGTGTACCTGAAGACGAGCGTGCCCCCAGCATGGGTGCAAAGAGTCTCTGCATTCCATTCGACCAACCTGAGGGAATTGAAAAGGGAGTGACGCCATGCGGAAACCCCTTCTGCTCCAACAAGGCTGAGGCATGGTGTTTGTTCGGACGATCATACTAGAATCGCTAGAGAACGGAGGTGCTGATGAATAGAAGTGAGCAAGATGACATGAGATGAGTTGACGATACCAAAGCAAAGATAAAGTCACAGGGGACGACGATTCAAGGACTCTGAGAAAGATGCAATTGATTGATTGGGACTATCACGAGTCCAAATCAAGTAGCGACTGAGTGCGTCCATGTGCAACCAATTGGCTATTTCGACCAAACAAATCAAAGGCATATCATTTCATGCTGCCTGACCGTCAATTCGTTCAATGTGCATCATGGGTGGTGATTTCAATGATTGGTGGGAGATAAAAAAGGAGCAACAGGTCAAAGATTCGCCAGCAGCGTCGGTGCGTCGGTGCGCTAGACATGTACTTCCAGTAGGTACTAGGCAGGTAGAAAAGGCGTGCAAGCCTCAGACTTGTATGGACCTGATCTCTTTATCAACTTTCCAACAAACACTTGATCTGGCTATTTAATTATGAGGGCTTTGTTATCTACGACTGTTGAGGTACCGTAGTTTCGCAGCCAAACTTATCAGGTCGAAGGATGTGCTTGTAATCTCTATTTTATGCGCATAAGACACATAAGATATAGTATGTTTCTCAACTACATCGCCACAACACCGGTAGGAAAGTCGTCCATAGGTCACTCGTTTAATTGGCAGGGATATTACCGTACCTATTTTATGTATGTACTCGTTAATCCCTCCTGGAAATGATCCGGGTGACACTCATCCTAGCCTCCGGAGCCATCCCGTGCTCTTCGATTCCGACTTCGAGTCCTCTATTCGTCGCTAATGTTGCTTGCGAGCTCCAAGTTGGCTTTCGGCTGTCAAATCCTTAATCTTCATCATCAACATCATATATCGGGCCAATGACAGACGGAAGTTGATGCCCAGGTCAGATACGAAAGAAACAACCTTAGAAACGAGTTCATTTAGGAGAAGACTCAAGTCACGCCTGTGAGACAACAGACTGCTCAGTTCCACTTGAATTCAGTCTCTTGCGAAACCTGACCCTCCCATCACTATTCTGAGGGCTTGCTACTATGGACGTCACCAAGGTTGCCCTGGTGACTGGTGCTGGTAAGTGTTCAATTACCAGGTTATATCTTCGAAGCTCATAGCGACCAGCAAGCGGCATTGGCCTGGCACTTACCCAACATCTCCTCGGTCGAGGCTACAAAGTTGGTCTATGCGATGTTGACGAAGAAAAGGGTTCCGCATATGCCACACAGTTTGGCCCAAATGCTCATTTTGTACGCACCAACGTTGCGAGCTACGAAGATCAACTGGAGGCGTTTCGGCAAATTTGGGACAAATGGGGACGACTAGACTTTGGTATGCTCACAAGATATCTTCAGCACTACCAAGTATTGATTTGACCCTCTGCACAGTGGCCGCGAACGCTGGAATTGTCGACTCATTCAACATGTACGCTGTCGGTTCGAAGGACACCAATAACACACCACCGACGAAACCCAATCTCAAAACCATTGACATCAACTTGACTGGTGTAATCTATACCACGGTTCTGGCTCAACATTACTTTTCTCGCAATAATTCGCCTGGAGGGAAAATTATTATCACTGCCAGTTCCGCAGCACTATACCCTCTGGAAGTGGGACCACTTTATGCTGCTAGCAAATCTGCAGTAGGTCAAACAAGTACATATCTTCAAGCGAGGGCATGCCGACTGACGGTGTTAGATCCCTGGCCTGGTGCGATCACTGGCCTCACATTTGAACGATGTCGGTGTCAGCATCAACTGTATATGTCCAGGAGTGGTCGCTACAGGACTGACCGAATCAATGCTCAGCCTTTGGCCTAAAGAAAAACTCACACCGTACACCACTATTATGAAAGCGTACGACCGTTTCCTCGACAGGGCTGAGACTGGATGCGTTGCAGAGATCAGTACCGAGAATATCTATTTGCGAGATCAATATGCTTATGGCGACGAAGTGCAGGAATGGATTTGTTCCAACTTTCCCAGACTCGCACAACAGGCATCTGTCTTTGGTGGTAAGTAGCCGTCGGGTTTCCAATACTACCTATTTCCTAACACTTGTCCTCCTTCGGACGCCACACTCTCTGCCGTAATGTATTTGGTGTGAAAATCTATAGATGTGATACTCTTGGTGCCTGGCTAGTCTCTCTTAGTCAACGCCTCTACTGAATTCGGATACAATTACTTCCGGCCCTGGTCATAAGGTTGTTCCCCGTCTTCGCCAAGTGCGCGAACATCGATGGGTCTAGGCAACTGACGGAATATTCCCATGGTTGGTCGCGTATGTACATAAGTACTGCTGTTACGGGACGGCTCCGGTAGCCTGCCTGCCAGCTCAATGGGGTATCTATGCCTCCATTTGAGAGAAGGTTAAGTTCAATGTATACTCCACGTCTTCAATCTGGACGATAATCTCAACCTCTACGTTTGGGTTCGGCTGTTTTCCGCATTTTATGTGACGCTAATTTGCAAAAGATTTGGAAAACAGGAGTCGTCCGGACTACCCCGAGGAGGAATTGCCTGGCGATAAGCTGCCTGTTCCGTACATTAGAAATATCGAGGATGAGCCATGGAATGTAGACTGATCGAGGTAAGTGGGTGAGAATTAGCATGGATTTGAATTCGCAGAACACTCAGATATAGTGCTTTATAGACGGCCATGGTATACAAAATCGAAATTGCGAGGCAGTGTATCGTGACGACCAAGAATTGAAATCCATCGCACCTATAATTGAAAGTCCATGTCCAGGGGTGGGCCTACCCACGACTTCCATGAGTCCCAATCGGCATCCATTAGATTAGGTAAGCCTGCCTCTTCGAACAAAGAATCTCGGAAAATGTCACCGTTGATTGCAGGCAAACCTGTCTGACCGTTTCGGGTGCTCGGTCGGTTGGGGTGATTGGGTGTCATGAGTCCAGAAGACTGACCGCGGCATGTTGATTTCTCCAATTGTGACAGAATCGAGTGACACAGTCCAGCTGTTGTAATTTGACCGACGGCTCGCTCAAGACAATGAAGCACTTTGTGCCAAGTGCCTTCTAGTTCCATTTGATTGACACTCTGAAGTCCGACGGAGCACTTGCGGCCAGCTGCCAAAACGGTCGATGATGCATACAAGACTGCTATTGTGTTAGTGGAACGAGGGAAGGCTGGAAGAGGGTTACATGTAGGAGTCCGAGCTCACATGAAACGGGATGCCACCAAGGCGGAAGAAAGCTATCGAAAAGTCGTAAATTAGTGCCTCAATGTCTGCCGTGTGGATAGAGGACGACCTGACTCACTCTGAATTCTCGATGAGGTTGTCACAGAGGATATTGGTGAGCTCCATAGCCGACCGAACGCAGATGGCCGCCGAGCTCTGAAGGATTGAGGAACCGACAGAGTCATCTTGCCGATTATTTTGATTGACGGAGTCATCTGTCAGGTCCAATAATCGAGCAAGCAACGGCCGGTAGATCAGAAGTTTGGTAAATAAAAACCTGACGGATGAAGGTTCAGATGAGCTGCTATATTCTTCTCGGAAGTGTCAAACTCACCGACATCGAAGGACTGATGCTTGCAAAACCAGTTCCCTACGTCCGCCCACCGATGCTGGAGCTGGAAGACTGGATTTCAAAGAGGAGGGCAGGTGCTCCCAGTAACCATTCAGTCGGGCTTCGGCCTCGACTAATCCTTTAAGATTTAAGTCTTCGTTGGTAGTGTGAATCGTAGAGGCCACGGCGTCACTCCGTCTTGAGTCGGTGTAGAAGCGATCCATGACGTCGGACAATATATCGAAAAGCCGTGTGGTGCTGATGAAGAAGGCCTGTAGGGACGGCCTAGACAAGGGTTGTTTGCCATACACATTGGGTATAGCCGACAGGTATTCATCGTCAATTGCCGTAGGTAGTGGAACTGGGTCCATGGCCAGCTCATGGGCTGTGGAGCGAAGACCCAAAGTACCAGCAATAATTCTGCACCGAGTCAGCCACAGGTTACGCTCGTTTTTGTATGGTTAACACAGACCGATCCATAAGAGCACATCCATGCCACAATCGACGAGCCATCTCTTGATCACGCTGACTCCATGTCGTGATATCCGAACCTCCTTGGTGAATACCTATGCCTTGGGCAATTCGCACAGCTGTGCCGACGGCAATCCAGCATGGCCAAGGTTCATTGGCGCTCTGGAGATACTGAGCCATCAAAAGCCAGGTCTGAACGGTTTCTAAGGTTCCAGGTGACAGGAAGTCAAACTGCAGGAGCTCACGAGCTCGTGCAATAAAAGAAGTCGAGGAGGCTTCCCTGGCTTTAAGCGATGTCTTTCCACTCACTCTCGATGAGATTGCGAAGATTATATTCAGCAGACAGTGGAACCCGTCATCCGGCGGTGGTGAATCGCTGACCCACAGTTGCTCGTATCGCTCCTGGAAAGACGGTCGGTGAACAAAAGGGAAGAACGGCAGGATGTCGGTCCAATACAATTGTAGCAAAGAGTCTGCCGTCGATCTGACGGGAAGGAGGTATTCAGGTGAGCTGATAGCTCTGCCCTCGGACGTCCCGCGGAAACGTTTTGGTTTGTGGATTTGAATCCTCTCGCCGATGGACTGCAAATGATTGTGAGAACCCAGTAGTTTGCATGTTTCTCCCCAAAACCTGGCAGATGCGAAACCTTGCTCCACGCTGAGTGGTGCAGGGCTTTGCAACTCGCTTCTTTGTGGGCTCAAGGCACTTGACAGATACAGGCTCTGATCCGAACCGATATCAGCTGCGGAAGTCGATGGGAAACGTAGACTCGAGGACTCTAGTCCGTGGGAATTGAGCTCTGGTCTGATAACAGCGGTCTCGCTGTGACGCGAATGACTTTGCGTTTCAGTCTCTAAATCAAATGGTCCATCAGGTGCGGTATAGCCCAAAGCATGATTTTCATGGTCCTGGGTGACGAGGGCGGAATGGTCTGCCTCCAAGGTCGACTGCTGTGTCTGGTCTGTTGTCGTATCGCTCAGGTTGGCGTCCAGGGTTGGGTTCTTGTTCTTGCTGTTTAGGGCACGGATTTTCTTTTCAAGCTCGATGATGTACTGCCTAGCTTCATGCTCAGCATTCCTGGAGCGAAAGCTGCCTGAGTCGCCCGAAGACTGACCTTTGAGCCAACTCGCCACCCGTGCTCATGTATGTACATTCTGGGGGCTGACGACCTCTTCTATGACAAGGACCACACACTGTCATCTCGTTAGTCTGATATTTCGGGCCTCAATATCTCATTTTGTGGGCAGACCAGGACGTGTCCCGTCGCATCGGATTTTTCGATGCCTGGGATCGAATGTTAGCGGCCAATCACAGCAGGAACAAGGGGCAGCAGTTGAGACAAACCGACAGGGCTCACAAGCCTCGGAAATCTTTGTTCTTTTCGTAGGTCTCTTGCCTGTCATGGTGCTAGTGATCAATGTATGAGGACGTGGACAAGGTCTTCGCTGGTGTGTTTGTCTTCTAACCGAGCCGAGGTTGTATTCATGTCTCCACAGGGAGGAACATGACCGTGAATGCAACAAATGGTTTAGCCTAAACACTTGTGAAAGATCATTTTCTTCCCATCGACTGAAGGAGAGAAGCAACAGTGCAATGTCGAAGAGACGATTATCACATGGTCGAGTATTCTCGAAAGCTGAGATTGAACAAAGCTTAGCTCTGGATATTCAAGACCCCATCCCCGCGCTCCGAAAGATGGAGAAGCAGCTTTCGCTCTATGGAGTGGAGAGGGTTGGCGCTTATGATCACAGTCCTCGCAAACACGGCAAACACGGTAAACAGGTACAATAAGTGCGTTACACCGTTGTTGATTCTAGATAACATGCCCACTGACGACGATAAGTCTACCCTTGTGGGGAGTATGAACTTCACTGACCTTCCACCAAGTCAAGTTGGCCATTCTCTCGTGGAATTATTACCTTATCTGCCATCAACACAGTGACGGCGTTCCAGACTCAGAGACGATGACCAGGTCGGTGCTTCTGGAATAGAGCGATCGTATGCGTTTGAAGGTCTCTGCTGATGTGATTTGACTCACGTACGACGCTCCAGGCACGCGGTCCGATCGACTGAGACCGATGTTGGAGACAGGATGAATTCCGGACCGGCAGTGGATAATAGGTCGAATTGCCGATATTGTAGAGCCTGTGGGCCAGTTTCAGTAGCTAGGAGAAGTATTGCAGCGGATTAGATCCCGGCAACGAATGGTGTTCCGTTTGTCAATCCTCATCCTGCCCCATGGCTCTCCTGAGTATTCTCTTCACCTCCACCTCTCCACACATATGTGTAGAAAACTGTGGAGAAGGGCTACAGAAACGGATCTTTTCCGGGCCAATGCGGCAGCATCCAATCAAGGTTCGCTATCCACGCCTGCGGCGTTGTCAACACCGACTTCTTATTGAATTCTGCTCCCCATATAGTCACACTGAAAGAGCAGCCATATGTGCCTTGCAGACATGTTGCTTGTACAGGTCTCCTGCTGTTCATGAATGCGAATGCACTGTGCTCTGAGAAGGAGACTATGTCGACGAAGTATTGTGTCATGAGCCAGAGTATGGTTAACTAAGGAAGCGGATACCTTGCGGCAAAGTTGATCCGAATGAAATGATTCCCCAGACGGAGCAAACCCGTGCCTTGGCAAGACTATTCTCGTATGCACTCCGGGGTTGACGGGATCTGAACGACGTTGTTGCGGCATGATCTTTGCTACATATGCGAAGAGAAGGCTTCCGACGCTTCAATAATTCCTTCTCTTGAGGTCTGTTTGCACCAAACCCCGTTCTGGACAATTTCATTTGAGATCGACCAGGCTCGCTAGTCACCCAGTTGCAGTCATGGATGCACCAACTCCAGCAAACAAAGACATCGCCATGGAGCACGTCGAGGATGGTGAACTGCCTCAATCGATCGATGCAAAGTCAGAGATTGTCGAAGATGACATGCCTCTCGACCAGCAGCGCCGAATCTTGCGTCGAATTGACATTCGCGTCACTGTCGTTACAGGAGCCTTGTTCTTCATCAGCTTGTTGGACAGATCCAATCTCGGAGCTGCTGCCATTGCAGGGTTCGTGGAAACGTGCCCTCACTCTTGCTACTAGTCTCTAATACCTCGAGCAGAATGACGGTAGACCTTAACCTCGCTATCGAGAACCGCTTCAACCTTGTGGCCATGATCTTCTTCGTCCCCTACATCATCTTTGAGTTCCCCGGTGCGGTGTTGGTGCGAACCATGGGCCCAAGAATATTTCTCGCCGGGATCTGCGTGCTTTGGGGCGTCTCAATGCTGTGCTTTGGCTTTGTCCAAAACTGGGTCCAACTTGTTGGATTGCGTGTCTTGCTTGGAGCCTTTGAAGCTGGCTACGTAGGTCATCCTTCTTCGTTTTATGCAGAGCAGCTTCTTCATCAACACAGAAACTAATCAGAGGTCGCATAGTTCCCGGCATGTATCTATCTTGTCAGCACTTATTACACTCGATTCGAAGTGCAGAAACGCTTTGCAGCGTTCTATCTCATTGCAACAACAGCTGGGGCATTCTCTGGTGTATGTGTAGCCGAACGACCCAGGCATATGAACAGACACTGATATCACGTGCAGATCCTTGCGTATGGATTAATGCAGATGGATGGACTGGCTGGGAAAGCCGGATGGCGATGGGTGAGTAGAACAGCTCACCTCAGCGGACCTCTCTTGCCAACAAGTTGGATAAATGGAGACACGACCAGCTGCTGACCAAAGACGCCGAACTAGATTTTCATCATGGAAGGCATCCTCACTGTTGTAATTGGTGCGATTGGATACTTCCTACTCGTGGACTTCCCCGACAAGGCCCACCAATCGATCAAGTTCCTCACGAAGGACGAGGCGGCCTGGGTTATTCGACGCATCCAACGAGATCGTAACGATGCCGAAGCAGAGAAGTTTGACATACGCAAATTCCTGGGGGCAGGCAAAGATGTCAAGTTATGGTGCTTCTCCCTCATCTTCTTGTAAGTTCGCCCTCAGGGACGGGTGCGAATGCACACCTTGTCGTTGTCGCTGACGCAGTCCAGATGCCTCACAACCGTATCCTACGCCGTCACATTCTTCCTGCCCATTATCCTCCGCAATAACCTCGGGTTCAGCATTGCGGCCGCCCAATGTCTAGTTGCACCACCATGGGTCTTTGCAGCTTTCGCGATGTTTTTCTGTGGATGGCTTGGCGATAAATACAGAATCCGTGGCCCCATCATCCTCGTAAATTCCGTGATCGCAATAGTCGGCTTGATAGTCATGACCTGGGCCCCTGGAAATGGAGCCAAATACTTCGGTTCGTTCCTTATCCTGGGCGGTATCCAGGCCAATGTGCCAACCGCCATGGCCTTCCAGTCCAACAATATCCGCGGCCAGTGGAAACGAGCTTTCGGTTCGGCCACTTTGGTGTGCGGTGGTGGACTAGGTGGAGTGGCGGGATCATTGATCTTCAGGACTCAAGACGCTCCTCGCTATTTGAATGGCATCTACGGCTGTATCGTGTAAGTTGTATCCCTTCAAGTGGTGCGAGCCTCGGACTGACTGCATCAGTGCCAACGTTGTCATTCTCATCATCGTCTCGACTTTCGATCTTTATTTCTTACGCAAAAATCGACTCGCAAAGGCTGGCAAGATATTCATTGACAACGAGCCAGGATTTCTCTATACGCTTTAGACCAGGGTTCGAAATGTGGATAGTTTGAGGTCAATGCCAAGTGGAAGGTGTAGCATGCCTCATAGCATCTAGACCCATCCCAAGTAAATAGAACCTCGTCCGCTTGACCAAAAATACTGTTGTCAACTCGTCGGGAGTTGTTGTACCTTCTATCCCTCCTCCTACCATGTCACTAACAACAGCGAAGTCTATCGTGTTGTCAAGCACCGTCGTCAATGAATGCTTCGCCGCAATTGGATATCGCTGGCATGAAATCTGTACAGATGAGGCCGTCTTCAGGGTAAGGCGGCCCGCTGTGTGAACCCCGTAATTCGAGTCTCGTAGCTGGTGTAGGTATTCCGTGCCAGACGCGGACACGTTTCGTTCTTCATCCCACGTCCAAGTCATAATGCCAAGTTCTCCTCGGTTCCAGCAGCCTAGTAAGTCACTGGCACAAATCCGATGCCGTATAAGGGTTAGATCCATGGTTGAACATGCAAATCCTTGGGGCCCCGCAATACGACTCGGGGAAACCCTGGTTCGGACTGAACCCGTCTACGGGATGATTCCGTTGTAGTATGTATTGCGCTCCGGATTGAATAGATCCCTTAGTCTAAAATGCTGCTGTACATGCCTACAAGACTTTTAAAAATGATATTTGACCTGAAAAGAGAGTCTCAAAAGCAGGTTTTGAGAACTCGGCATCAAGGCTGCCTTCCATACTGTAGATACTCAGACAATTGTCATCATGGGTTTCGGACGGATCGATGTGCACCACCATTTCACCACGGACTTCTATGCTGAAGGTGAGTATCTGGGGGAGCTAGACGAATACAAAACGCTAACTTAGGGGGATGCTAGCCGTGGCTGAAGCAGGAGGAGATCCTTCAGGGTTCAAAGGCGTCCCTGACTGGAGTCTTGACCTCGACAAGAACTTCAACGACAAGAATGACATTTCGACAAGTATTCTCTCTCTGACGGCACCAGGAGCTTGCATCGTCAAGAGTCGCGAAGGGCGAGCGAAACTGGCACGCCGCTGTAATGAGTATCTGGCGAAGCTTCGCGACGATGCACCGCAACGATATGGATTCTTTGCCACGCTGCCCTGTATGACTGACGCGGACGACTTCCTCAGCGAAGTGGCTTACGCACTCGATACGCTCAAGGCGGATGGTCTGACATTATTCACGCGATATGGGTCAGGACACCAGTACCTGGGCCATCCGGAATTCACCAAGATTTGGGATGAGCTCGACCGGCGTAACGCGGTTATCTTTATCCACCCAACTCACCCCGTGGACACCGTGTTGGTAAATCCCATCATGACTCAACCGGTGGTCCAGTATCCGTTTGAGACGACCATCACGGCCGTGGACATGCTATTCAACAAAGTGCCGCAGAATCATCCCAACTGCAAAATCATTCTCTCACATGCTGGAGGCACCCTGCCGTTTCTTTTCACTCGGCCAGCCTCTGGGT